ACTCTCCTCTCCATTGCTCCCATGTCTCTCTTTCAATCTCTTTCTCCCTCTCTATATGCATATTCCATCGAAGCACAAATAACATGCCCTCTCCCCCCCCCTCCTTTCCTTCCCCCCCCCCCCCCCCCCCCCCCATGCAACTATCGATTCTCATATTATAACAGCGAGTTTAACCCCTGGATAAGTAAGATTGAATAAGTTTTCTCATTAATTAAACAAATGAAAAGAATATTAAATAAGATTTTTTCTTTTCCTTTAAAGGAGAAAAGAGAAATCTTAGTTGAAACTCTATGCATCTCTCTCTTTATCTTTCAACTCCCTCCTTCTCTCTCTTATCATCCTATAGATGGATAGAACAGACATGAGCTGATGATGGTGGATGTTGGGAAGAAGAACGTATCATCACTTGAGATATATATAGAAAGAAGAAGTTTTCTTTTTTGAAAATAATAAAGAAGAAAACGATGTAATGAGGGAAAGCAGTTTAAGCATGATCCCACAAAACACGAGAAGATAGGCTTAGATAGACAGCTCATTGAAGAAAGAAAAAAAGAGAATAATGAGCAAAAAGAGCGAATATACATATATGAAGGCATATAGTGAGAGAATGAAGAGAAATAGATAGATAGAGTGAGAGAGTGTGATAGAGAGGAAGAGAAAGAAACAAAAAAAGGAAGAATAAGTAGATTGAGAGGAGAAGAAGAATAAGAGAGAAAGAGAGAGAGAGAGAAACAACCGTTCATATGCTTTCAAACAAAACAAATGAGGGAAAGTTCACGTGGAAATTCCACGTAACCTCCTGCTTGTCTCATTTGCATTTCCAAATTAGGAGAAACAAAAACAGAAAACAAGAAAACGAAACACAAAAAATGAAGAGAAAGGCAATGAGAGTTAATAGACGGAAGTGACAGAAAAGATTTCGAAAATCCAAGAAAGATTTATGTATGCCATAAATGGCACCACGAAGTTCAAGAAGTTATGAGCAGAAAGAACAAATCCTTTAAAAGTTCAAAAAAGAAATTGTTGGATCAAACAACTCAGACGCTGTCGGACAAGTAAGGAAAGTGACATCAGGAGGTGTCAAATGCATGAGATAAAAAAAAATAATAAAAAGTGAGAGAAATAGAGAGGAAGAGTGATAGAGAGAGGAAGAGAGGGAGGGAAGGAGGGAAGTGGGGGTGGATGTAGTTGAGTTGTGATTCTTTACGACAACATTCACTTCAAGGGGTGACAACGGCATCAGCTCATTGAGACAAATGGAATCGTTTGGAATAAAAAAAAAAGGAAAAAAAAAGTGAAATGAAGTTAACATGAAAAGGATATCGGTGTCGTATGAAAGGGCACACAAACAGATTTTTATTTTGTAGTTCAGTTGTCAAGGCGATGTTCAATGGACAGACTCTCCAAATACAACAACACATTGCAGCACACAGGTTGTTGCAAGCATGACGAGAGCCGCCGATAAAGAGTATATGGGATTGAGAGAGAAGAAGAGAAACAGAGAGAGAGGTGAAATGATTTTTTTGAAAATAAAGAATGAGAATATAAAGAAAAGAATTCAAATTTCACAACATCTGTCATCTGAATCAATAGCTTTTCCAAATTAATTTTTTTCAATTAGGAATACGGCAAGAGCTGCCAGCCGATGACTACTAGCAACCAGCTCTGGCATTGCTCTCTTGTACGAGGAAAAGCTTGACTGCATGCTTAACAAGAATGATTAAATGCTTCTCCAAACTTCTTTTTTTGAGCATAAACATTTGAAAATTAGTTTTATGAATGTTGTTAGAGAAAGATGAAGAGATAAAGAGAGAAAAAGAAGAAGAAAGAGAGAGAGAAAGAGTTGTATAGATAGAGAGAGAGAGAGATAGAGAGATAGAGAGAGAGTTATGAAAAGAATATTCTAATGAAATGTGCTTTTATTGATAATTATTCTAACTTATATGATTTTTGAACACGAATATCATCAAGTTTGAACTGAGTCTCATAGAATTTCCTGTCATCCCCTCCCTACCCACTCATTCCTCTTCGTCTCTTTATCTCTTAGTCATAGAGTGTCTTAGTCTCTCTATCCCCCCTCCTCTCTCAATCTCTCTCTATATATGGATATCTTGCTATTTCTTTTCTATTCATTCATGAGCTATTGTATCAGTTACTCCATTTTCTTTCCTAAAAACTTTTCTATTCACTTTTAAGGCTCATTCCCTCTCTCTCTACATACTCTCTCTCTCTCTCTCATTCCCTCTGTCTCTTCAATTGTGTTTGGAAGATTAAAGAGCATTTAATTAAATGTTGCACAAGTAGTGAAGTATGAAGACAAAAGGACAGTTAAACTTTCAAATACGTAGCATTTCTCTCTCTCTCAAAAAATAAGGAAAAGAGGAGATGTCAGACTGACGAAATGATCAGCCCCAAAATTACTTTTCTAAGGCATTTTCAAGACGAAAACGTTGCGGAAATGGCTTAAGCAAGACTCGAATTTCCGGTATAAAGTCAAATGAAATCCGGTTATGTAACTGGAAAGTAAATTCATTTTTATATAATAAAAAGAGAAAAAACGAAGAAGGAGAGACTATGCAAGAGAAAACGATATTCCTTTTTAATCCCTTTCAATCTAAATTCAATTATACAAATGATATTGAAGAGAAATATCGTTAACTATATGTAGCTCTCTTTCTCCCTCTCTCTCTCTATATATGTTCATGCTCAATGAAGCTCAAGCTTATAGCCCACTACTTGCAGCTATGAACACCATGAACAACTTACTCAAGACAATCATAAGAAATGAAAAAATAGTAAAAACGAGAAAATGCTTATTGAAGAGGCCTATCTATCTGACAAATTCTGAATTTACCATGAAAGGAAAATGAGCAACTTAGAAGCTGTGCCATGAGGGGGCTGAATGCGAAGACAAATGAACATTCCTTTGGGAATTTCAGCCACAGCCCTCAAAGCCAATCCAACAATCTCAGTTTCTTTTCTGAGATTTTTGTCAAATCGTTTGATTCATTGAAAATTCACATAAAGAATATAAGAAAAACCGATTTTTTTTTTATTTCGTTCAGTCGTTCGTTCAAAAGTCAGAAATAGTCATATGAGAGAGAGAGAGAGAGATGAAGAGAGAAAGATGAAGAGAGAGGGAGGATGACAGATTTGAAAAGAGATAATGAATGTATAAGAGGGAAGATGAAACTTTCTTGACGAACTTTTTCTTTTTCAATTTGCACGTGTGTTTTTCACGTAAAACAACAAGAAGAGAAATCATTTCCTTTAAATGCCGTCGGCTATGATCGGTCGTTCTCTAGAAAGGAAGGGCCAACATGGAAACATGTGATTGAGATTGAAATAAAAAAGGAAGAAAAGAGGAATGAGAGTGATAAAATGAAGTTTGGAAAGATAGAGAGAGAGAAAGGGAGGGAAATGGAGAAGGAGTCTGAAGTAGTTGAGAGAGAGAGAGAGAGAGTGAATCAGAATTTCTATAAAATATATGAAAATGACAAGGAAGGAGATCGATAACTATATGGATATAATAACTTACTTTTTCTAACATGTCTCTCTTATTCTGTTGCAGCTGTGTCGAACAATTAATTTTCTTCTTCAAGGAGTTGCCAGGTGGTTTGAGCTTCAAACGAGAATGAAATAACTATATGATATAGTTAGTTATATTTATATAATAAATATCAGAATTGAGAGATAATCTTGCGGAAGAATGTAAAGACGATTCTGTGACGGATTTGGGGATAAGGAGCTGACAAGGAGAAGAAGAAGAAAAATAATTTTTATTTCTATTTTTATTACTCAAACATGAATTGGAATAAAGATTTGCAGCTGATAATCATTTGGACAATACAACTTCGTCGCTTGCATTCCTTTCTCCAGACAGACAGATACACACATCATCATTTCCAAAATCCCTCCACAAATTCACATTTTCATTTTCTTTAAGCTTTGCTAATAAGATGATCGTCTCCTTCAACTTGCTTCCGACTTCGGTAGTCCGGTTTTCAACTTCAAAAAGGCGGAGACGTTGCCGTCTACAGGTAAAGCATATAAGGACATCCACTCATCCGTATTCTGATAGAAGCATTTTTAAATTTCTTCTTTTATTTTTTGGTTTGCTGCCATCATCATCAAGCCATTCCAGCAGTCAGACATCTATCTGTCTGACGACTGCAGGTTATCTCTCTAACAAGGAGAAATGAAATTAATATTAATCTTCTCATTAATTACAATATGCCAATCAACGTTGCTCAATGGACTTCAGGTAATGTTCTTTAATTATAAACTATATAAGAGTTACATCTAATTATGTAATTATACTCTGATGCGACCTATCTCAATCATTGTCTCTCCCTCTTCACTCAATCTCTCCGAAACAAAATGCGAATGAAATCATCTCGTTCCTAAACTGATTTTCGCAATCACTTCTAGTTTTTCACTGTAAATCATTTAAAAATTGACATGCATTCCTTCGAATACAGAGAGAATGAAGAAGAAAATCTAAAATTCGTACTTGCCTGATGTTGTAAAGCTTTTCCATTTTTATCTTTTTATTTTGTCATTTCAGAATTGCGCTAGTTGTCCTTATGCTACTCCAATAGCTTATAGACAGCCTTCAGGAGCTTTTCCTCTTCCATCTGAACGATATGTATTTGGGCGTCCACAACAGCCTTATCGACAACAGGCTTACCAAAACCCTCCCGCTTACATTATGACAAATCCAGTACCACAACAACAACTTTTTTTCCAACCTGGCGTCGTAGCTCCACAGCTTTATGTAACTCCTCCACAAGCTTATGCTACTCCTCCACAACTATATGCTACTCCTCCACCTGTCTATGCTACTCCTCCACCCATATATGCAACACCTCCACCAACTTATCCAACACCACGACCTACTTATCCAACTCCTCCACCAACCTATCCTACTCCTCCTCCAACAACAACAACAACAACACCACCACCACCCAAATGTTTCATAAACCAATATGGTAATGCCAAATATTATTTGAATCAACAAAAACTCATCACAACATGTCTTCAGGCTACAAGTGCTGCAACGCCGCCCTGATGTCAGCCATAACGCAGCTTATGAATACTCCAACAAATCAACAAAAATGGAGAAATTGTAACATGATGAAACAGGCGATAGATATGAAAGTAAACAGACCCATCCTCAACCAACAACTCAATTCTATATTAAATTGAAGAATTCATTGGAAGATATGTTTGGAAGATCATTTGAAGCAGTTATTTCGCCATCTGAGATCGCCAATAAGAGCCGATACATGGGAGATTTTATGTGTAAATCTCGTTCTCCTGATGGAAAGGTTGCTATCCTTGACTTGAATTAGTCTCTCAAATGTTTTTTTTCGCTTGAACTTTACGACTCTGATCTTTATCGAAAATTCGCAATCAAAAAATAAAAGTTCCATTTAAGGTAGTAATGGTCTATGCAGCTGGTAATCAATATACCATTGGTCCAGGACCATCCAGACCATTGACAGAAGAAGAAATCCAAGCCAAAGGATGGTCAGCCAAGGACAGAGAAGTTACAGATTTTGAATAATTTTATTTACAAATCTTGTTACTTTTCAAATATTATGTAAATATGAGCGGATGTACTTAATAAATGAGTTTCGTTATGCTTTTCCTTATATGACGCATGTTTCAACAGAGTAAGTTGAGCGGGATGTTGCCTAGTATTTCTGCACCAATCCAAATGACTATACATGATATACCGAGGCAACATCCAGCTGCTTGTTTCATGTAATCTTTACAAGTATCTGGATTAACTGGTGCTACAGTTAGTTCTGTTGGTTGATGTGTTATGCTATAGAATCAAGATCATGCAAAAGAGAAATGAAATATCGCTTACACTTTCGGATCTTCCGATGTTGCTGCAAGCTGGGCTGCGTCAAGTTCAACTTCATCATAGTACTTTGCTTTCTGAAAAATAAAACAGAAGATAGATGAGAGAAGAATCGAAAACAGTATTACCGTTAATCCAGAGTCTTCTGAAGCGTTTTTGAAGCTGTTTGCTGCGATGGGAGGCATTGAAAGGATCAGGAAAGAAAAATCTGAAATGCTTATGAAGCATGGGGAAGATAAGGCAAAGGCAATATTTACCTATCAATGCGTCACACTTGACATCATTCAATATTTTATCTTTTTCTTCTACATCACAAGGCTTTGTCACTTCCCGACTTGTACTCGACTCAACTACATAACACAGCGTTGGTGTTCCCTTCGTTCATCAGACCACCCCAGGGTTGTAGTTTCCTCTCTGACTCAGATCAGGTTCAACTATTTGCAAATCAGAATAGATCAGCAGATGATAAAGTGGTTTGCCATTGCAAGAACTACAAAATAATTAAATTGACCATGTGAAACAGGAATGTTCAATTAGAAGACTCTTAAAGAGGATTTTCATTATCCAAGTGCATGCAGATCTGAGACCATTCAGAGGAAGAAAAAAGCACATCAAACCATAAAGATTTCTCCCTCTCCCCCCGTTTGCATTCCAAATCAACTTCCGTCATTCAAATTAAATTAAAATTCAAAAAAAATGCTTTCATTTCCTTTCTCTTTTTTGCGCTCTCAAGTTGATTCTCTGTGTTAACGATGAACATGCATTCATACAAGATATTTCATGCATTTGAGATGATCATCTCGATCATCACCATCATCAGCATACAGCTTTGCAACAAGGGAGGGGGGAAACAGTTATTCCAGAATATGAAGAAACAAACGAGAAAAAAACAATCGGAATACGATTAGTTTCTGTTTGTTTACTTAATCAAAGAATTCTCTGTTTATCACAAACTACATTATCATCACCATAGTAATTGTCTGTTTCTCTTATCCAACTCCTCTTCTTGAAATTCTCTCTCTCTCTCTCTCTCTTTCTCTTTATTCCTTTTCTCTCATTCTCTCTACATCTCACTTTCTGTTTCCCTCTCTCTACCTCTTTCGTCCTCTCTCTCTCTCTCTCTCTTTCTTCCTCTCTCTTTTACCTGCTTCCCACACCATCCCCCTCCGTCCATCAAGAAAAATTTTGAAAAAAAGTATTTTTTCCTTAAATATCCTTTATCTCATATTCAAACTTTGCAAATAATTCATATTTCCCTCCTTTTCTTCTCAGTTGCTCCTTCAAACAACATAAATTTTCATTTTTTCTTCGTTTTCGTCTTCTGCATTCTCGAAACTCTTATTTCATCATCTTTCCTTACCAAATACACTACTCTAGTTCTCTCGATTCAATATACTATTTCTATTATATTCAACTATTTCCTTACCTATGGCTATGTGTCGTTTCCATGACAACCATTTCCATATCAGACGACATTCCCTTCTTCCACTCTCCCTCTTTCTCTTTCTCTCTCTCTCTCTACCTCTCCCTCTCTCTATCTCCCTTTATCATTTCTCGAAGAGATTTATCTTTCCTTTAATTATAATATTTATTTCCCCCTTTTTATGCAAAAAATTGATAGTTCATACTATTTCTCCTTTTTTTTTCTTTCTTCAAATCACCTGCTTTCAATTTTCCTTTCCGTTTCACAGAACTCTGTATCGACCAAGTAGTTTCCTTTCATCCACTGCTCACCTTTTTTTCAAGATTTACGAGTCTTTAACCATAAACCATATTTAGAACTTAACTTTCAACATACATACAACCTTCTCATCCTATACACCTATTACATTCTATGCTTACCTTCAAACACATAGTTATGCTTACACAAGAAGCTCAACAGCATGTTTATGAATCATATAACTTACTCTTTCTCTCACTCTCTTACTCACTCTCTCTCTTTCTCTTTCAAAGTTATTTTTTAAATTGAACATGTATATATAGAAAGCATCAACTTATATATAGAAAGAGCTCTTACATTTGATTGTTATTCTATTTGTTTCCTTTCTTTATTCTTTATTGTTCAAGCTTTTCCTTCATGAATCGAGCACGAAAACCACCAAGGAGATGTCGAACTATAACTAGCGATAAAGGTATTTTCCTTTGTTAAATAATCACCTTATATAAGAGTTTTATAGTTATATCTGATGATCATGATATACCTCCAGATCCATCAACGAGTCCTGCAAAGGAAAGACCTCAGTAAGTATCATAATTCATTCAAACACACAACCGTAACACTCAATATGCACTTTATAAATGAAATTTTGAATCTCACGTGAAGCGTATGCTAATTCTGATCAGTTTTCTCACGTTGTTGTTGACGTCAAAATATTCTAATTTTCAGGTGTTTAGTTGATCGTTCATCAAGGTGCATGTTATCTGAAATTGATAGTGTGAAGTTAGCTACAATCATAACTAGTCAACCAGCAGCTAGAGGAACAGCTTTATTACTTCAAGCCTTACGACAAGTATTTTTTGGAAATTAATTTGAAAAGTAATTTGAAATCATTGAAGCAAGTATCGGTAGCAGCTTCATCGGCTTATACACATCAAGCAGTTGAATGGATAGCTGAGAATGATGTTCTAATGCTCAAAATGAGAAAACATGTAAGAAAATCATTCTTTCATTCTGATGACAAGGTGATAAATGAATTTTTAAAGTCTGTCTTATGCCGTGTGCTCCAATCTGATGCCGTTGATTCTCGTGAACAAATGGCTCGTCTGATCAACACCATTTGCAGTTTTCCACGAGGAAGACAATATTTCATTGGTGAGAGAGTAGAAAATTAATTATTCGATAAATAATATAATTACAGAGCATTTAAAGACATTCCTTCCGACTGTAGTAGCTGTCTTACGTGGACGTCGATTACCCACAACTACGCATGAGCAGCTTATTAGCGCCATTGAGAAAATGAGTTTGAGGTATAAGAATGAAATAAAAAAATATAATTTCATCATAAAATCTTAAAGGTCTCCATGTCAAAGAGAATTATTGCAATGTGGTATGCTAGAATGGATAGTGAACCTCTTGGAGGGCAAGTTCTCTCAATATGCTGTAGAATATGCTTGTGCTTTGGCCATCAACTTAACTTTCAATGTATGAAAGCTTCTCTCAATCCAAATGATTATGGGCGAACCTTCCTTGTTTCAGTCAGCCTGCCCATCGTTGTTGATTCGTTTTGCCGATTCTTTGTCATTAGCCATTGTTAATGTATTGAATAAGGAAATACACGGGGTATGTTTTTTTAAGAGAAAGCACTACGAGAGAGGGGGGGAGAGGGATGGTGTGGGTAATACAGAAATAAAAATTAATTTTCAGCCTTGTTGTTCCTTATTCAACAGTTTAGTATTTATGTGGCTTGGATGTAGCAAAGTTCGTTACCGAGCTAAAGAGACCAAGTTAAGTGAAACGCTGAGGTAGTATTCGATAAGAGACTAGTCATAACATGCATCACTATAGAAATCGATTAACAAAGAAGAACTGTTCGTTGTGTGCCTTACACGTGCCATATCTGTTAGCCATCATAAGCGGAGGTATTTATCATTTTCAATGTTCTAAAGTACAAAAACAAAACAAAAAAAAAGAAGAATTTGAACCATCTGTTAACTTTCCCTCTTCATCGAATTCTTGTCAAAATGAGATTGGCAATTCAACACAAAGAGGGACAAACTGAATCCGTTTGGCCTATTTTTCCTTTTTTTTTGACCCAAATATTCTTTGAACAAATCCTTTTTTTGAAAATCAAAAAAGAAAAAAAAGGAGAAATGAAGAAAATCGTTTGAAATTCCATTTGAAATGATCAATCGATAAACGTGGATGATATGTAATAGCTGAAAGACAGAGCATCACGTAATTCACGTGAATGACGTAAACGTCATTTCGAACAGAGTTCGAGAAGTGAACGGTTGTATGCTGATCAATCAATAACTGTCTTATATTCATTAAGAATGAAAAAAACAAGATCATATGATGAAAAAGTTGTTTTTGGGGAGTAAATTGAAGAAGAATATGGAGTTGTGACTTGTATACTGTATTTATTACAATGTATCTTCGTTGAAAAGATAACAATCATCATCTTCTGATAAGAACCCTCATATAAAAAGCCATTTTTTCAAAGAGCTGGCAGTTATCAAGTATGTAACTTCCCTCCTTCTCTCTCTCTCTATCTCTTTCTGTTTTTTTTTCATTTCTATTGATAATTAGTTATTGTTTTAAAAACATTGCTCATTTTCATTTTGTTCTGTTGGATTTGCATATTGTGATGAGACATTCAATGAGTTGCAGTCAAAATCTGACAGAATTTATCTTTTTTGCTGTCTGAACAGATGGCTTCATGAATCTTCATAATTTCAATTCGTGAAGCATTTAACTGACTGTTCTACTCCTCCTCTCTTCACCCCTTTCAAATGTTATTTTCCATCCATGGCTCAATACATAGTCTTCCATTGCATTCCTTATGGCTGTTTGATTACCTACCATTTATGAGACCTTTACTCATCTGCAGCTTTTTTTTTTTTACATTTTTTCACATTTTCTTCTTATATGAACAACATTATGAGTGTGGAGGAGTATTTGTCATGAAATTTCTTATTTCTCAACTCGTCTGATTCATCATTCAACTTTCATTTGCACTTTGAAGCTCTAAATGAAGCGCCTGAAGGTAATATGCGGCCAAATGTCATAGAAAGTTGCAAAGGATGTTGCCTCAATTGCCACAATACGGCCAATGATCGTGAAGCTTTCGATAAGAAGCAAGAAGGATCGCAAGCAGAAATGAACATGCTAATGCCTGGCAGCTATAAGAAGTAACAGGAAAATAGATGGATGAAAAGAAAAGAAGACCAACACCACTCAAATCTCAAAGCTATTTTTGGTGCTTTATTATCTCCAATTACATCGACCGTTTATGCTTTCCCTCATTTACTTGTTGACATCTCAAATTTATAATTTTTCACTCAAACTGACTGTTTCCCAATTACTTTTAAAACAAATTCCTTTTTCGTCTTTCATAGTTTGACCAATTTTCTTGAAAACTTCACTCTCTCTCTATCTCATTCCCTTCAGTGGTAGTGATGATTAGCAAAAACCAGCATTTCTACCTTCATTGATGTTTATTTACTTTTCAAAAGAATCTGACAAATAACCTCATTAGAAGGTAACATCCTTACTTGTGAGAGATTCTTTTAAGAAATATGGAAAACAATGAGAACATTTGTTGCTTCACTGGTAGTTTTTTTTTGTGTCGATCTGTGAGACACCTCGACCCCCTCAGGGCTAAAACGTGTGCAGAAGAGAAAAAAAGAAAATAAGAGATGCTGGGGTTAGCTGGTGTTCAAAAGCAGAGGAATGACATATACACAGCTAGTGTGAGAGAGAGTGAGAGAGAGCGGCGAGTATGGGGCCGTGCTGGGCGGCGCCACGACAGCAAACCGAGCGGACACACGCCGTCCGGCGACGGCCGGCCTCCCGTACTCCGTCGTGCCAGTCAGCTTCGGACAGCGCTCAGCGCTCACCGCTCGTCATTTTTTGCGTTGACCGCCTGTTTGACGGTCGCTTCTACACTCGTCTACGTTTAATTCTTCCAATATGTGACCATAGCTGATTTTGTGTCCTCCATATAAGAGCTCTAGTGCTATGCTATCTCATTCCACTACTACCGTGCATCAAAATGCTATTTTTGAAGATTTCATCATGAAAATCCGTCAGAACTGAGCATTTTCTAATTTCAAATCTGAAAACGAATAGTGAAACTTTCACAATTTGTAGAATCTCTAGAATTCGTCCATTATCTAATCGTTATTCTGCTGAAACCTCTGAGTCATGGCAACTACCGTACCCTAGGAGTCCAAAATGAGTGTCCATCCATGTTTTTGTCCGAAAATATTTATAAAACCTTTCGAACGAACCTCTAATCCCAATTAATTATGAAAAAACACTTCCATTTCTCTCTCTCTGCTTCAGATATTTTCAATATTTTCGAAAACAGACACATGGTAGCGGATTACATGTATGCTATCTCTCCAGCATTTCCCAGATACTTCTGAATGCCTAATCAGTCTAGATTTGATGAACTATCCTCTTTGTTATCAATATTTTCAAAATTTATCGTCTAGCCTCTTCCCTGAGACCTCAAATACGACGTGAAGTTGATCGTATTTGTGCGCTCGGGGCCCAGGCTTGATGATCAGCAAATGGTTCAAATGATCTTTTATTTTTTGAATTTCAAATCAAATAATGAATATGATATAAAGTGTATTGAGCTTCTACTAACTTATTCACTTTGCAATATTTTACTACAATCTAACTAAGCGAGTTAGTTTAATTCACTTGCCAACTTGGTTCAGTTGTGCTCAACTCTGACCATTTATGGAATTATCATAAAGTTTTTGCAAATAATCAACAAATGCTTCTAATGTTTGAAGTTGGAATATTTTATAATTTCAGATGCAGAAATCAGCAAAGTTCCTCAATCGCCTAATGAACATGAGCTGGATACGGTAAGGCCTTTCGATTTCGAATTTCGTCCCAATCTCCCTCTTTCTCTTCCTCAATATGAAGCGTGGCTGTGGCCGGAGGGGACTGGTGTCTGCCAGTGAAACTGCATCAGCCCTCACTCTATTCTTTTCTCCCAGCCGGCACTCTCTTCCTCGCTTCCTTGGACGACAGCACGTCCAATCGCGGTACCCGGTTGTGCCGGCTTGTTGCCCACACAGACTTGTCGACGTTTCACTGTGCCTCTTATGGTTAGGCTGGAAAGCTCTAACAGAAATAAAGGCAAAATGACGGAAACTAGAAAAGGTTAATAAGAAGTAAGAACAAAAAAAGGGAATTTTGGAAAGGAAGAGGAAATAGATATTAAAATCTATCCAGTTTAATCGAAGAGAGACGAAGAGAGGGAGAGGGGAGAGAGAGAGAGACTAAACCAAATGCTTGTAAATGAGTTGATTCGCATCAGTTTTATTATGAAATACCGTATATTTATCAAACCAGGAATTATATAGAACTATTATCAGAAGAATATTTGAAATTCAAGAAAAGTTTCGAGATTATTTTGTCTTTTCTCAGCATTTCTTGAAGCCTTGTAAGAAGGCGGCAAGATGGCAACATATCTTTGAATACTTATGAGCTCCATTAGATACTATCTATTCATTTCTATTGGACAGAGAGAATATTATGTGTTGAAGCTTCAATTTTGGTTGAAAACCTGAAAAGCCAGGTTTCGTGACACAGAGTCAATGTCATTAAACCATTTATCTTATTAAGACATGAACTGAATTTCCAAATATAGAATGTAATACATAACATTAAGAAAGCAATATATTTTCTTAATAATCGTTCACGGTTTGAGGTCATCAGCATATATCGTATATGATCTCATTTCACGTGTATGAACGTGAATGCATCTCTATGCATCTTCTATCCAGCTTCACAATATGAAGTATGAATGGTTGTGTTCAATTATTCGTTTCTTCATCATCGTTTTGACCACCAACTTCAATAGTTTTTTTCTCCGTTTTCTCACATTTTTTCCACTTCCTCTTTTATATGATATATCAATAGGAGGGATGTTTGTGTTTCCTGTGAACATCAAACTATGATTCCATAGAGTTTTGTGTGCTATTCCTTATGAGAAAGAAACACTGAAGAGCAGTTGGTGATCAACTCAAGGATTAAAACGATTCTTTCTATCCTCAAGTTACACTTTGTTTATGAACAAACCATAGAATACAAGCTTACACACAGCATTTCTAATTTGTAGAGAAAAACGGAACTATATATAAGCTTCTTTTAGTATCCGAAAACTTTTCTCGGTAGTGGACAACGCAAAGTAATTTTAATTCCTTATCAGTGCAACACATATGTCAAGAATGACAATTGACTAAACATTGGCGTTTGACTAGGCGAGCAAACAATCAAAAAACAAATTTTTGCGAAGAGTAGTTGGCTAACTGAACAATGTGTTTGAAAAAGAATTGAATGTGTCGCAAAACAAGGAACTAATAGATAAGTTCATTCATATTTCTCAGCTAAATAGCCATACCAAACCGAAATATTAAAAAACTCTACTCATATGCAACAATTACCCTTTGGCACATTGTAATTTCCTTTTTGCTCTTGAGAGGAAGCTCAATTTTGTTAAATGAAACGCTAATTATATGATATAAATAGTATATTATGTGGTATATAGTCCTTTTTTTCATGCTTTGCATGGATGTCCAACACGAAACTTCATAGGATATAAAATTTGTTAATGAAATATACTTATATGGAATGATCGTATTCCATAATGAATATTTGGATGTCTCAATCTTCAAAGCTTGCCACAAACCTCCCTCCCCCTTCAACAATCTCTTTCACATAATAACATAATATTCAATTGTTTTATGAACCATCCCATGAATCTATCTGAGTCAAATGTGTCTTGGATAAACCTTCACAGCCTTTCTAAATGGTTCTTTTCTGTTACTGAACTGTAGGTGAAACAGAAAAAAGGAGAATTTAGAGGGAAAAGCGGCGAGTTGTTGAGACATAAAGGCAGAACTGTCCTTCAATTGAGAAAAAAAATCAAATTGTCCGATTGACCCCGTTTTCATATGTCTCCTAACACACATTTTTCATTTTTCCATTCGACGAAGGATTAAGAAATTCAAGTGCAGACACATTAGGGGAAACTGTCATTTACTGTAGAGAACATAATATGCTTTTCATTTGGAATTACCATATTACTCATCATCTTCTCCGAATTGCAAGAGACAGAGAGCGACGATGAGAAAGAAAGGATATGATTTGAAAACAAAGAGAAAGGGATAAGAAAAAAAACATTTTTGGCGATAGATTCGAAATAGAAAACCAATTATCCTCTTCATATAATACTTCAAACATAAGCAAAAAATAAAACGAAACAGACAGTTAGCAGGCGGCTTATGTCTTTCCCATATCTCGTTCTTTATGTGTCTTTCTCTCTATCAAAGAAATGAATGCCCATTTGTAGCGGAGAAATTTTAAATTCTGACCTAATTCTTAACATATTACGTCGACCCAGTGACCAGTAGGGTGAAAAAAATCTTTTTTTTTCATTGCAAATGAACTTGAAATGTATGTTCTCAAATAGGGGATCAATTCTCGAATTAGTGAATTCGATAAGAGTGATTACACCTCTCTGTATTATAACCGTTCTAAGGGGAAATTAGCTTTTCAGTATTTCTCTGGTACCTCAGTTCCGTGATCCTCTTAGCAATCTTGCAAATGCAAGTTCTGGATGGGAAGCCAATAACAAAAAATTGTCGGAGAACATAATGCGAACAATTTAAGAGGAGGGGGTTGTGGTAGAGACAGTCAAAACCGCTAGCCATTCCTGGATGACATAACCGGTGTTGGAAGTTTTTGCAAATTATTCTCTGAAATAGAGAGGAAAATAGTGAGAATAAGATTGTATAAAGAGAGGAAAAGTACAAAACTTGATGAGAGAGTGAGGACGAAGAAGCACTGAAGAGAAGGACCATTTATGCTTGAATCGACAAAGCGCTAGGGGCAGTGCCTGGCTCTACCGCTTTCATTCCCAGCACCAACACGACGTGTTAACAGTGAGGTGGGAAGAGAAATAGCGAAATGATTAAGTGGACAAGAGATGAAACAGATGTAACACACGTTTAATGATGAAAAATCAGAAAATAGTTTGTGTTACATGTTTCATCCAATAAAACGTTGGACAAGAAGAAGGACTAAACTAATATAATGAATGCAACCGTTGTGTTAGTCCAAGTGTACCTCAAGTAAAAAAAAAAGTGAAAAACGAAACAGAACAAAATTTTTGAACATGCAGGGCGAGAGAAACGCTAGAGCGAATTATCACAGAAATGAGTTCGCTTTGATAACTACATAAGCTTATCAAGCGTTAATGGCTGTCAATGGAAAATTTATTACGTACTTGGCTTTCGTTTCCTGTATTTTGATTGTAAACTCTTTTTCAGGCAGGGGATTGTTGTGAACGAGAGGTCGATTCCACAGATCCTTTACGTCCAACTTCGAATGAACTGTCTGGAGCAAGACTACTTCTACGCAGAGCTCTTAAAGAGGTACGCAATGTGGAAAGATTAAAAATATGAAACACTTACAGTGTCCACCAGATGAACAGAGCAATGTTCCGGGACAGGTGCCTCGTTATAGCTCAGTTGGCAGAACAACGACTTCATCTAAAACTAAAAAGTAATAGAAAAATCGAGAATTTTTACCAATATCTCATTTTCAGTCTAAACCATGAGCAACAGCCACAGAGATTAGGTACAGCCGCTTCATGTCATACATTCATAATTGAAACTGAAAGACGAAGACCACCTTTACTACCGGTATCGCTCACTGATGGTAAAGCTTACTAGATATCCAGAGAAAAATTTGAGTTTCAGGTGCTGTGGAATACAAAAAATCCCAAGACGCTGCACAAAAGCTCCAAGAAGAAGAAGCCAAACGATTAGAGAAGGAAAAGGCGGAAAAGGAAGCATCTGAAAAAGAAAAACTAAAGTAACCGTTCTGAATAGAGGATTTGAAACATTTTGCTCATAATTTCAGGAAGCGCTCCATCTCATCACGCAAACCTCCATTACCAAAGTAATCTATAAACTTGTTCGAAATCAACCGCAAAATTTTTCAGGAAAGATTCTATAACTTCTGATAGGAAGTCGCCTTTAGTATCGCATAAGCAAACGAAATTATCAAACGAGAAACTGAATAGAAGTAACAGCTCAAACAAACTTTCTAACCTGAATTATAATTTTAGCTCCCTCCATAATGGAAATGTCTAAAAGATCTCCAACAACTCCACACGAAACTTCTCCACAACAGGAAAATGAATTATCGTCACCTATGGGCAATCTGTAAGTACAAATGTAACTCTTTTTTTTAACGGAATGACCATTTCAGCACGGGAGAAGAAGATTACTCAGTCATTTTTGGTGCACGTCCCAAGGTGGCTCGAACTCCAGAACACCAACCCAACCGCAGTTTCTTCTGAATATCGTCGCTTTAACTTGGAATCACAACCGGTGCTCAACATAAAACTCATTAATTACTTCAGGGATAATTTTTGACTGCTTCTTATTTGTTCTAGGGCAGTTACCTCTTTTTCCGAAACAGTATACCTCAGGCCATATTGAGCCGTTATTGAATAAATACTATTGAGTTCACGATGAAGATCAACCATGCTCTTACTCAGGGCTAGACTTTGTAGGCAAATGATTTACAATGTTCATCAAACAGTTCATTTGGAATACTTTGCTCTCAAGCTCAGCGCGACAAATCCAATCATTCGGAATAAAACACTAAAAAGAGTTAGAAGTAATAGGTTTGGAGCTATTTCTCCATCCATTCCTCTTCTGTAGAGTATATCTAAGTCAGAACACTTATAAAAACTAATTGTTACGCCTTTACCTTCTCCGTTTTCGCCAGGGCAAAACACTGTGTTATTGCCTTGTGATAATAGACCGGTACATCCTTCGATATGAGTTATCTTAAAGATGAATAATCAAGTAGAAAACTATGGGAACATCCAACCTCTTTCCATTGATTAATTTCGAGAGCTTCGAAGCCATAGCGAAACCATGAGAAATAAGAAAACGGCTGGAGATAAGAAGGAATACTATGGAAATTGATATAATATCCTCCGAACGTTAGCATTGGCAATATTAACATTGGTAAATATGTAACAGCTATTGCTTCCTCACCAAAAACAGCGGCACCAGCATAAGCTAGAACCAGCCAAGTCCGATAGCCTTATAGTATCTCTTACCTACTGAAACAGCATTCTGAGTTAGAAGCATACAAACGAGAGAGAAAATGAGAAATTTGCTGCAGGATTCTACTAGTCCTGTTTAAATACAAAATAGATATAGGTGATCTAGAATACTACCTGTTGTCCAATAAACGATGGCAGAATAGATTAGTGGCAATATGGCATATTGGGGTAACTGCAAGTTTTTTCATGAAAACTAAAAAGATCAGGGTCACCTCCGCCAATGACTTTGCAAGATAGTAGCTGCCAACTGAGTATATTCTACTCTTATGCTCTCGTAGAAATATTGGTAGTTCGCACGTAATTACCTTCATGAATGCGAACCATAGAAAACTAACCAACTCAACACACTTACATTGATGGACGGGAATAGGAACAAGAAATTCATATCTCTGGCCGCATTATAAAGCACCCCTTCCATGTTCTTCACGGTGGGTCCATAAACTGGAGTTCGGAAATTAACTGTACTAATCACTAGCGCAGTGAGCTATATGGTCTTCATTTGAGAATTAGAAAGAAGAAGGAACTTACAACAACTTGTATGAGTCTAACTTTAAGTAGCAGTGGATCTCTCAGTGTAGTTAGAAAAGATCTTTGGAAAAGAACTACAAACTGAATCCAAAACGAGGCGAAGTATCTGGAAAATGCAAATGAAGGATATGAGTAATAATTTCTAACATTACCTAATAGAGAAATCAGTAACGGCTTTTTCTCCGAACCCCATACTGCGTTGCTCTTCTACTGCTTTCAACATTTTTTGTCCCAACTCGCTAGTGTCATAATGATTACGTATCAGCTAAAAGGAATCATGAAACGATAATGAATACAAACAGTTGTACTTCAATTTGTTTCAAATCTTTGTCAGCAGTTTCCCCGGATATAGAAAGTTTGGCGATGAAATGATCCGCTGGGTTGTAAGATTCTGGAACACGCAGATGTTCAACGTTCAAGCTGAAAGAATGGAAGTGGAAAGAATATATAAGTCATACGTACCTCTCAAAAAAACTACATATTTCTGACACTGGTCCGTGGTAAGCCGTTTTTCCATTGGCCATGAAACAAACTCTGAATTGAGGCACTGGTAAGAAAAGCCTACAAAGAGGAGTGAATACTTGTTAAACATTTTGAAAACAGTGCTGCTAGGTTGGTGTATAACAGTGACAATTGTTTTTCCCTTTTCTGCCATTAATTTCAATGCACTTACAACCTACAAAACTGTATAATACTGCTGGCTCTAGGGAATCAATAACTAACCTGAGCAGCCATGAAAGCATCTAATCCGCTGGTGGGTTCATCGCAATACATTATAGCAGGATCTGTTAGAGACTAAACACCGAATACAGCAGATGATTTTGATTTCTTACTTCACATGCGAATGAGAGCCTTTTCTTTTCTCCGATTGATATACCTTTAGTGCGATTTGGTATGCCTATGAGCGTGTTCTGGAAAAATAAAGCAAGAATATAGAATGCTTCCTAACCTGGCATTCGACGAGATTCATCTCAGCTATGAGTTGTTCGACTTTTTCTCTCTTCTCTATATTAGAATATTGTCTTCCCATTCTAAGTAAAGCCTTCAATAACTAGATCCTTCAATGACTCAAGCCAGCGAACATACAGAGTAAGTTAACTGCTCTTTCACTGTTAATGTTCCACAAAACACATCTTCTTGTTGAACATAAGCAGATATTGAGCGCATTTGAGTTTTTGTTAGAGTTTTTCCGTTAACTAAGACGTTCCCTTGTTTCTGAAAAAAATAACAGTCAATAAAAATAAGAGCGCCTAGATGAGTACTTCGACGCCTTTAGTTGGAAGGTGAGCGAGTATATTCATTAACGTTGTTTTTCCAGCTCCGCTACCTCCCATTATTGCCAGAACTTCTCCAGGTAGTGCGATTCCAGAAACTAAAACATATGGGAACATGTGAATATTGAAAATTGAACTTGAAACCATTTTCTATAACTTGTTTGCGAGTATGCCCTCGGTGTTGGTTTTGCAAAGGTACCGAAGCATACAAATGATGCCACGATAATACCTTTCTGCCTTTATAGTTGGTATCTATGAGAACATTCCCAGCTAAATCGAGTCAAGAAATGAAAAAAAAAATAAAAAAGGATTTACGTTTTTTGATAAGCGGTTCAACTTCATTTCGCAACATATTCAACCGGCACTCGGTGACAGATGCTGAAAATGAATTGAGGTACGTGGCAGCAGGCGACGTGATATTATGCTAATTTCGAAAAGTACGCGTCAGCTGGGAGTGTGGAAAGGATTTTATTTGCAACAAAAAACCAGTACTATTAAATAAAAAGAAGAACAACGTTCAAACAAAATCACAGAGCATGAGACATAGTGATAGAGCATAAGAGATTAGATGCCCCATTCGAGACAGGAAAAGGCATTGCGCTAGAACTCCCCACTGTTACTGATCCTAGTAGAGAAATACACTTCTGCGCTAATACAATTACGTTCGAATGCAAACAATTCCAAAAACCAAATGGGACCACAACTAGATTCAGATAATTGATAAATACTAGTGATAAATAAAAGAAGTAAGTATCGAAAGAACATGAAAAATAAATAAATGAGTAACCGTTTAAAGCTCAACTTTCTCGGTATCTTTCGCCTCTTTATTATCTTCGGGCTTTTCAGCCTCTTCATTAGTAGGCTTCTGTTCTTCGGCTTCATCCGCCTTCTCAGGTTTCTTTGTCGTTTCGTCAGTCTCAGTTCCGGTCTCGGTCTTATTCTGACTCTTATCTACATTAACAGTTCTTTCAGCCTTCATTTTCTTCATAAATCTGTTCAATTCACGGTCCAGAGCTTTGATCTACAAAACAATTCTAATTTTTTTTTTGCATAGAAACATACCTTCAGAGCGACTTCACTGGTGAGAACCGCAGGATCGTCATTTGGTTTCTTCTCCAATTGAGCAGACTTCTTACTTTCGATCCACTCAGTCAGTTTGTCGAGTTTCTTAGCAAAGGCTTCGGTATCATTCTGAAACATACCTGCTTAGTTTTTTTCAATAGTTGAAATTACCTTTGAGAACAAAGACTTCTCATCGTCTCCTCCCATTCCAACCATAATTCTGGAAGAATTCAACATGTTTTCCAGATTAGTTATAGCTTCCGGAAGAGTCTGAACGGAAAACGGTGTTACGTTTACAAACTATCGCTTACTGAGGATTCAGAAATTCTTTTCTTTATGGGATTCAAAATATCCTTCAAGATAGTCAAATTTTCTTTGAATTCACCAGTCTTAGTCTCTGGAGTTGTATCATCTTCCAACCAAGCACGGATACGAGTGACCTAGCGATATTTTGAAATTTTCATTTGATGGAAATGGTTTACCTCTTTAGCTAACTTCTCTCTCTCTTCTTCTGTTGAGAACTTAACAAAATCTTCTTCGTCGGGTAACAAACTGGCCTCGAAAGCAAACGATTCGAGTTCATTCTCAGCCGCAGCTCTCTCGGCTGCAAGCTTCTCAGTTCTCTCAAAAGCTTCAAGTCTGGTTTTGTAATCTTCGATTTCTTCAGAAGTCAGAATGTGAACTCCCAAGTATGACTCTTGAGTGCCCAAAACAACTTTTTCGACTTCGGGAACTTTCTTCTCAGCCTTTTCGGTTTCATTCTACAAAAACGAGAAGTGTGGAACAAACGATTAATGATAGTACCTTAGCAGGAGTTTCAGTACTGTTCACTTTAGCTTCAGGCTCTTCGGCAGTCTTCTCTTTGTTTTCAGGTTCTGATGGTTCTTCAGCCTTTTGTTCTTCTTTCTTCTCTTCTTGAGTTGATGGTTCAGCTTCAGAAGCAGGGTCTGCCTCTGGAGTTTCAGGAGCGGCATCGGCTTCTCCCTTCTTTTCTTCCGTATCCGTTGGTGCACCCTCTTCAGCGTTTCCAGTGAAGAAACCACTGATGGTATTTGTAATGGCTGAAAAGATTAATTTGGATGAAAACTGATTAAAAGCATGAAAGGTATGAAAATAAAACAAAAAATGATCCAGAAACCCGAAAGCGAAACTCACAACCAAATAAACCTTTTTTTGGTTTCCCAAGCCTATAAGGCTTGATTATGTGCGCTAAATAGCATACAGAATGAAGAATAGTCAGAAGCAGATAGAATAAATGATAAAAACACTCTGAACTCACATTCTACAACCCCTTGAGACTTTCTTTGGATTGTTGCTTCCGCCTTTCCTACACGAACAATTCCAGATCCGTCAAGAATGAACGGAACTTTTACTCCTTTGAATTCGGTTTCTTCGGCTTTCACCTTTTCTTCAATAACTTGAGTCAAGCCATCAACAGAAATAGTGGCAAGTTTTCCTGTTAAGGGGTCCAATAGTCTTCAATTCGCAGCTTTAAAAATTGCACGGTACTGTTTCATACCTGTGCTGTTCAGCATTAAAGTGAGAAAGATCTCCATAATTGAGCTCGAAGTTGAAATCAGTGAGGAAAGATGTGAAACCAATAGTCTTTAAAGACAAAATCTTTTTCGAAAAAACACCTTGTATTCTATACCTTCTTGTTCGTTGGGTACTTCGTCTTATACTGGAAGATTTGTCTGGTGAGATCTTTTTGGATAGTTTCTCCATTTTCTTGCTGTTGATTAACCGTGAACTTGACCTAAAAAAATGTTGAAATTCAGATTCAACGCGTATCCACTAACCTGAATTGGATAGATGACCAAGTCTTCGACATTGAAAGGCTTGACTTTGAAACCACTACTCAAATGTGCAGCCTATAAAGTATTACAATGATTCATACACTATAATAGAACACTTACCAAAAACACTGCTCCCATAGCAGCAGCCTCATCAGTATTCAAAAACTTTCCTAACTCTTTTCCACCAACTGCGGCTTGAATAGCTTCTTGAATCTTAGGAACTCTTGTACCAGCTCCGAAAAGAGCAACTTGATCAATCTGTAATCAGTTTATTGAAACTGCTGACGCGGATTTCCTTACGTCGGAGAGCTTAAGTTCAGCCATTTTAAGAGCATCTTCAACAGGCTTGGAAATTTTAGCCTCGTAGTCAAGAATGAGAGCCGTGAACTCATCACGCGAAACCTGGACAGTATTTACATTAATCACATATTTCAAAGAATGCATACTCTGATCTTCATGTCAATATCTTCATGAACGCTTTCGATTTGTGCGAAATGATCAGCGTTGGCACTGAGTACTTGTTTCAAGCGCTCACTCTCTTTGAGCATTTTTCCCATGGCCCTGTCATTAGTAGTGATGTCCTTATCAGTCCTGTATTCATTCCTGATTGACGAAAAAGGCAAAATAAAAGCTCACTTGTAATTTTCACGGAAACGTTTAACTAAATGCTCCTGAAGACGGAGGGTCATTTCCAAGCCTCCTAAGTTACGATCATATCCAACACCAAGTACGGAAAGCTAGAATGACAGCATTAGAATAACTTAATAGCCGACTGATAGTAACCTTTGGTTCTTTTCCATATTTCTCCTTCACAACCTTATACTCGACAAGAGTTACAGTTGTTTTCATAGCACCCATATCATAAATCATCATTCTCAAAGGCTTTTCGGTAATTTCCTTTCTTCTGAAAACTCCATAATTCAAAGCAACTGCTGTTCCATCATTGATAAGCTAAACATAGAGTGAAGGAATATTTTCAGAAAGGAAAAATTACTTGAAGAAGATTGAGTCTGGCAATTTGAGTAGCCTTTTCGATAGCAAGACGTTCAGCTTGAGTGAAATATACAGGAACAGTAATAACGATATCTCTAACAGTTTGCTCAGCATATGCCTCAGTGAACTCTTTCAAGTTCGATAGGATCATAGCTAGTAAGCTTTCAATGGAATAAACTTCATCTCTAAAAAAAAATTGCATTTCCCATGATCAATATGGAATCATACCTAAATGGAACAACGATGCTAGATGAGTTGGGGCTTTTTTCAATGACGAGATGTGGATGTCTAAAAACAAATTTCAAAAATCAGAATTCATACCACCGCTCATTCATATTTTTCCGAAAAGAAATAAATGAGCATTTTCAGAAAGCGTTGAAACTATTGTATTCTTGTTTCGAGCTGACGTACCTCTTACGGTACACATCAACCGATGGATGGTCAATATTTTTACTAAGAAGATCCAATAAGTGAGGATATACTGTTTTTGGGTATCGTACATTGAGACCAAGCGCTGGATCTCCGAACAGTCTATAGGAGAGCAGAATTATATGTATTACCAAGCTAAAACTACCGCTCTCCGTTACGAATAGAAAGAACGTTTGGCGTTTTTCTTCGAGATTCTTTATTTAAAACTATTTCCATTGGTACTCCAGGTTTCACCAAGCCAACCTGCGCATTATAAGTAAATTTATTCCTAATTTCTCTCACCTTGATGAACTGGCTTCCCAGATCGACTGACATAGCTGCCAACGCACATTCTAAAAATGGATAAAAACATGAAATAATACAATAGCTTACCTGTACGAGTGGCAAATCCAAAAAGACCTATTAATATTAATAATACGGAAGACCCTATAGATACTCTCATTCCGAAATAACCTTAGTCTGCGTGTACTAATCTTAACCACTTTGACAACGTAGCTTCGTCACTGCGGGACCACAGTATAAACAGACCTTTAATATGTATCTTCATAATGAACGATGGCTTCAATTCATGTTTGTATATACCTAGTTCACCAAAATATATATCAAATTTATGAATGAATTTCAAAACATTTGTCTTCAACCGAAATAAACATAATATAATTCATATTTTCGTAAGATTAATATTAAATATAACAAGGAAGAGCAGAAAAGGATCCAAAGTTTATTTCAATCTATATGTACATACAACAGGCAAGCTATGGAAATTATAGACTATCTTCTTAACATCACAAGAAAGATATAACATGAGATATAATATGAGATATAACATAAGATATAACATGAGATACATAATATCGGGAAAGTAATCAAGCATTGGGAGCTGCATCTTCTTCAGACTCTTTCTCAATGGTCACTGCACTGAGCTTCTCAGAAAGAGCATTAGCGAAACGCTCACGATACTTTGGAGAGATCGTGTCAAGTAACTGATATAACTGTTCAAAATACTGAGTATGCATATTGAGCTGCCGGAAATCACCATACATACAATCCGCTCGATTGCTTGCAATTCTCCAGCCTTTCTCTGCGAAACAATTATTATTTCTTTAATTCTCAGCACTATACCTGTCAACTCGATACAATAGGTTGCTTTTTCTAGCGTATTGATGTTTAGGAAGAGTAACTGAGAAGTTCGAGGGAGCATCTCTGATATGCAAATCGATTGAACTGCGAAAGAAAACTCAATAACTGCATTCGCAGCTTCTTCCTCCAATACTGAACGGCATTCACAACCACTGAAAGCGAAAGAAATAATTTTTGAGAAGAATAACAATAAAGACTTAGTGTTAACAGTTCTCCGATTATTCAGTTCAGTCAGACCAGCATAAATAGGAGAAGCTGGGGGAGTTTTAGTTTGTTTCAATTCTTCATATTGTCCATCTCCCAATAGTCTACCCGATATGTCCAAAGTGGTCATGATAAGAGAGTTAATTTTCGTTTAAGGATTAAAAAGTAATCAATTAGAGCAGTTGATAAGAGATTCTCAAGAGAAAGCCCACGTTAACTTCAAAAAGCTGCACTAGTTCATTGTGGAAAAAAATTATGCAGGGACTAGATATATAGACAATTTGGCTTTGGTCTCCTACACCTTCCTATTCTGATCCACCCATATAACTGCGTACGCGTTGCATACAACCGACCACCGTAATCGGAAAATTGAGTTTCTTGCCGTTCAGTAGATATACCAAATATCAACAAGCAAACTAAAGAAAATTCTTTCCATTTTTATACAACTTTATATCGGAGTTTAAAGATTCCATGGAAAGCACATTAAGTACCCGTGAGGCGCATCATTGGCCGGGCGGAGCTAGTATGAAGAAGTGTAAAACAGGAATGTGACAAACTGAACTCTACGTACAGGAGTATGCAATTATTGCTTGCACGTCTGTGTTTGCTATAAGCTATTCATATTAAGCTTCATTCTTATATTCACGTATTGAAATGGCAGAAACAGAGAGGGAGCCTAAAGTTTCTGAAGATGTAGGGGAGAAACGCGAATTTAAAAAAAGACGTAGAAATCCCAACAAAAAAGGTGAGTGATGCTTAATCACAAGTTATAACTAAATTCTATTTAAGATGTTGATCATTACCGTGAACTGGATAGAAAATATAAAGACATTCTGGATAAACTCGTGAGAGTAGATATAGAATCTGACGTTCGTTTGAAATATAGCAAGTGATTGAAACTAATTAAGTTCAGGCTGTTCCTATTATCAAAGAAGAAGCTAAAACAGGCAGAATAACTAAAGCAGAAATTGAAGTTGTTATTCAAAGATACAAAGCTATGAGAAGACGTATGGTTAGTAGCTTTGAATATCCTCCACCCCTGATTCACAATCAGACGAAATATCCAATTTTCTATTGGTAATGTCCCTCTTTAGGCTGATGCAGCACAACTACGTAAGCTTGTGATATTCGATGGTTCCTTGGAAGAGCTAAAAGCAAGTTTATTTTCTATAATCATGTATATTGTTATGGTTCAGGGCATGGTGAATACTTTAGTAAAGAAAAGAAAAATCCAACGTGACCAAGCTGCTGATATAATTACAAAATGGAAAACTCGTGAGAGACGTAGAACCGGCAGAAAAAACGATAAAATGAAGTTGATCTCAGCTTTTTGAACATTTATTTACCAGCCTTTCTTCAGTAATATTTCCTGCTTGCTCTGTAGGCAGAAAGGACACAAAATAGCTGATTGTCCAGAGAAGAGTAACGCGAACGATGGCGATACAGACCATTGCTTCAAGTGTGGAGCTATGGATCACAATATATATTCTTGTCCGAAGAAACATGTGAAAGGTACAATATATTCTTTATGATATAAATATATACGTTAACCAATTGATAGGTTTCCCATTCGCCGTTTGTTTCATTTGTAATGGGGATGGTCATCTATCCCGAGATTGCGAACAAAATAAGCAAGGAGTTTATCCTGATGGTTTGTTTGAGTTTTGACAAGCAACTTATTGTAAGCTGTTTACAGGAGGAAGTTGTGATTTATGTAGTTCTATCAAACACTTGAAGAAAGATTGCCCAGAGTTAAGACCGAAAAAGGAAGTAGCTGTTAAGAATGGTTTGCTTTACTGATATTACATACAATATCCTAATTATACAGTGTTCGCACAACCTATGTCTGCTATGAGCAATTTGGATGACGATTTCGAAGGCACACGAGAAGAAAGTCCTCGCAAAAAGAAAGCAAAGGTTATTAAGTTTTGATTGTTCCTGTTAACTGTTTGTTGTTGATTATAATTGTTGTTCGAATAAACTTATAAATTCTTTATTATTTCCAGTTTGTGAGGAGGTTTATCAGGATAAGGATAAACCGACATTGTCATATCAATGATTTCGTCCACATGTCATCATCGCTTCTTAATTAACTTAAAGCTTGATGGCATCTTCTTACCAGATTGATGATCTTCAGATCGAATGTCACCATAAATTTAAGTCAAAGTAGAGAAGGAGTGGCATTTCCGGTTTTTTATGAAACATTTGGAAATATCGGAGTTAACATGTACTATGGCTAGAAATAGTTAACGATTCCAATGAAATAAAGATTATCAGAGAGATTCCTTCCTATGGTAGATTAATAATAGGAGAATGTTTATAGACCATTTACGGGAATTAACTAGGCAGTCTCGATTGTGTTCAGCCGTTCATATCTCTTAGTTGCGCTCACTTAGCTAAATTCTGGAGGAATTTTAGACTGATAATGGTGGAAATAGACTATAAAGGTACGAGTTCTACATAGAAGTTGTAGAGGAAAGATAGCAGATAAAGAGAGATAGAGGAGAGAAGAGAAACAGAGGAAGAGAGCGAGAGAGAGAGAAAGTGACTGGTAGACCGTTCCAAGGTCGTTTCGTCTTTCTCCTCATTGCACCCATCTTCGAAAACTGTACAAATATATACATTCTTTGGTCCAAGAGCAACACAATTTTACCTTAATTCTTGAGTTTCAATACAAATGTTTGTGAGAGTTGAATCATTATGAATTTTGAGAATTTCTTGAATTTCCTCTTATCTTATAACAGTGTATGTTTACGATTTCCTTAGAAGTTTGTTCTTATCTAAACAACACAATAACAATCTGTTTTCAATTCTTCTTTTCGTCCGACAATATTACTCAGCTTTCACAACAACCACATCATCATCTTCTGACCTTTTTTGTGAGGAAATATCAGTAAGACTTCCAACACGTACACACCCCCTTCCATATAATTTCCGTCAAATAGCTGTTCCCAAACATTCTCAAAAAAATTGATTTGTGAATTTGCTTGTAACGTAAGATGAAATATTCTTTTGATCATTTCCGATCATCTTCTTCTTTACAGTCTTTCTCCTATAAAAGCTGCTCCTTCTCTCCTTCGCTTTGTTTGTGTTGAGCCTTGTGCACCTCCGTGTCCATATACGTAAGTAAGCATTCTGACTGTCTTCATATTTCGCATTGGGTCAATTGGATACAATCATTTGACGACATTATTTTCTTCTTATAACAAACTCATATCTGACATCATCTTTATCATCATCGTCATCAACACTCTCATCATTTTCATCGTTGTTGTCGTTGTCGTCAATGCTTCATTTATCGTTTGCAATCACATCATTGCTGATGTTCCTGCTATCGCATATTTATTCCGGATTCATAAGCTTCACTGTAAATTAACAGAAGTCGCACTTGTAGTCAGCAAGCAAGCAATTGACAAATGCACATCGCTCTATTTGGTAAATGTTGCCTTTCCTCCTCTCCACTCATTTTTTCTTCAGTCGCGCTTGTCAGTCAAAGCCATTGACTTGAAAAGGTTTTCGTTCCGTTTTCTTGCTCTTTCAATAACTTGTCGTTCGAACTGACTCCCATCCAACATGATAATCGTTTGTTTCTTTAGTAATCATCGTGTTGTCTTATCAATCGATTTATCAGCTCATCAATTTTTTTTTTCAAACAATTTTTGGCTTCAGTCTCACATACAAACTCTCAAAAGACTTTCTTCAATTGCTTGATAACAAAACACAGTTTTTATCAAATTTCTTGTCCTTCTCTTCTCTTTTCACACCCCCACCCTCTATTACCTTATTCTATATCAAAGGTGATTTTATTCTTTTTTTTTATATTTCAATTTATGTTTATTTTACTTATCAGCTACTGATACAATATTCCTCATTGCTACACTTTCTCTTCTCATTTCATTCACTTTCTTCTCAACTGCGATGTTTGAGCAATTTCTCTCATATTCTCACATTCTGCCTACCTTGAAACTCAATCCCAACACTTTATTTCATTCAAATACTATCAATCTTATTGATTGTTTCTCCATATCATAATCATATCAATTATCATTTACAACAAATTTCCTTCTCTTCCTATTCCAGTCAGTTATCTTGATTCCTAATCAATTTGTCTTAATTTCAAATGAAACAATCATGCCAGGTGCTGCTCTTCATCGCCAACGCATAACTCCAATGACAAAAAAAGCTTTTGCGATCCCACATCTGTTACTTAATACTAGGAATACAAATGACCAATAATTTTATTCCGAAAACTTTTGTCTGCAATTCGTAAGTCGTAATAAAATCCTTCTTTCATCATTACTTTCTTGACCTTTTACCTCATATTATCCGTCTTAACCATCTTTTAAAGATGGACGAGAGAGAAAAGTGGGAAGAAAATGGAAGAGAGAGAGAAATAGAGGGAAAGAGAAAGTTAGAAAGAGAAAGAGAGAAGGAGAGGGAGAGAAGAACGAACAGTTTGTGGTTGAAAGGTGGTTTTGCTCAAAAGATCTCAGAAAACGAAGATCAATAGGTTATGCCATCTCATGATTTCTCCGTTCATCTTCTCTCTTCTTTCTATTCAGAAGAAAAAGATGTTTGAATTTTACTTGTTTTATAAGCAAAAACAGTTGTTTATAGTTTTGATAACCACCATATCGTTCAATCTTCTCATTCTTCTTCCATTTTTTGTTTCATCTTATTCACAGATTCCTCCTCGTTCGACATTGTTATTAGCGGATATATTGAATTATACGTTAACTTCTATTTCATCCTATTCACAGCTATCATACCAGTTCCGCAGGCCTTTTTATCTTGAAAAAGGTCTAAGAGGATAAGAGAAGTATCTGACAAGCCGCTTCAGATATTCTCAATCGCTTCAACATGGTCTCTTTTCATTTTGAAACCTTTTCGATGTGACGTGGACAACCTGTTGTACATTTTTTACTTCCAAAAGGCGTCAATTCATCTGCCTTGAATCCGGCTTCATTTTCATTCTTACTCATTTCATTGTCTTATTTTAATATTTCGGCCTTATTTTATTCTCTTTCTAATTTTCACCAACTTTTTGAAATGTTACTCCCAGGTTGTATGGGTCTTGTCTGCGGCGTATCTGGAGTGGTTTGCGTTCGCGCTACGTACATCTGTTTGTACGTAACTTTTTGTTTTTTTTTTATCATCATCCATCCACTTGTGTGTAAATGTACCTGCTTCATGTATGTTTCACTTTTTCTGTTCGGAACTTTATCCAGATTCTTGCTTCATAACATAAATAAATTTATTTCGAACAATTCGATCCACTTTCCATCTCTTCTTCTCTTCTTTTTTCATTTTGTGAAATTCTTTTTTTCGATTTTTTGATGTATCAAATTGTTTAATCCTTTGTTTCGGTTCAGACCATATCAGAAGATATTCCATCCATTTCGGAATATTTTTTTTGTATCTTTGTTCATATTCACTTCTCTAATAGTAACGACTTATCAGTTTGTCGTCTAATGCTGAACCAGCTGGTGCGAATTGGTTCTAGACCTCCTTCATAATGTTCAGAAGAAGATGAAGATGAAGAAGAAAAAAAGATTTTTTTTCACAAGACAGCCAATTATTCCATGAAAACTAGTTACTTCATAAATAGTCCATGTTTACATCTCGTAATGGAGACAAATCAGTTTTGGTCAATGTAGTTATGGTCCTCGAATGAAGATGACTTACAGTGAAAGCTCTTATTCAGTATGTCAAAAATCTTGTTCAAAACTTTATAATCTTTGAAATTCTTTGCATATTTTCCTATAATAATATTTGATTTTTCGACATTTAGTGATATAGATAGGGTGCAAGAGGAACGAATATTTGATAGACGACCATATGAATAGCTACTATTTCACTTCCGATTTTGATAAAATGATTAAATATTTCTTGAAATGACGACAACCTTTTCGTATTCACCGTCCTTGAACAACATTAGCATAAACACGATATTTTACGTATGGCACACTGCTTGGATAATTTGTTTCATCAGCACGTGCGATGACGCGTTGAACGGTTTTTTTAGATCTTTCCATCTTTTTTTTTATACTCATCCTCTCCATCTTTCCTACTTTTTTTTCATTCGCTCTTCTCTATACCCTGTTCTGCTTTTCAGTCTGATTTCTCATACTCTTAATTTCTAACTTCTGTAACTTTTTCTTCAGACAATTATTCTTTTTTTTCTTTCTCTCTCAACCATTATATTGTTCTTTCGCTGAAAAATGTCATTTTGTTCTCTTCTCGAGGTTCTGCTCATTCAAACAGGCCATCAACACAGCACAACGACCGGTCTCCGCCTACTTTCAATGCCCGTTGATGACGGAAGGACATCGAAGGTGGTATCGTTGAAGGAGATAGATCGTTTCGAGACGACACGCCCCGTTTTGATCCTTTTGCATCGTCTGATCGTTTATTAAAAGCTCTTCTTATTGATTTTTTAATCTTTGTTTATTAGAAATTAATGACACAAACTGTATACATGTGTACATGTGGGTAAAACGTCACTTCATTAATCCTTTCCATAATACTGAGAAATTAATCAATTTCTTTGTTCAATCTTCAGTTATCAACAGCCCTTTTATCATTTTGAGCTTTCAGCTTTCGAACTAATCATCGTTGTTCTTCTGCTTTTTTTGTCTAAAAAATCTATTTATTCAACTATTTCCATAAAAGTTTTAACATCAAACGTATGACTAATAAGCTTTATCATAATAATATCAGGTGGAAACTATTCGATAAGCTTCTTCTCATGCTCTTTATGGTCGTCTTTATATTCTTCATACGATATTTACATAATACTTTCTCTATCATTTCCTCTATTCCTTTAGACAAAAAAGGAAGCACAATTCTCACTATGAACTTGCTTTTCATCAAAAAGAGAAGCATTCTCATCTCTCTCTACCTCTCTTTACACAATTGTCTTATACTTCATTACAACTTTTCACCCTCCTTGCTTTCTCTCTTTAAAAAACAACAATAACAACACATATCATATATTATTCTTTGCAATTTCAACACTCACACCATTCAACACTCAGATATGGTTGTGAAGACTGTTGACCAATTTGTTGTCGTTTTATTTATGTTTTTTATGTCTTTCTTTTCTCTTCTTGCACCTATCTATCCTTCCCATCTGATTTACAACCCATTTAAGCCTTTTACTTTAAGATTCATTCCTTAACTATCTACATATTATATACCAACAACATATAATATAAAGTTAACGTTGAAGGAATGGCAGCAACAACGACGACGTCGTCTACGACGTCATCGAAACCATCAACAACTGTACGATGTCGTTGCTGCCCCTATGGATTTCATATCGACCTGGGTTTTGTACAATTTGCCGAAGAGGTAGCTAAAGGAAATTCTGTAAAACGAACGCCAACATTATCTCGACGTGGACATAATGGTGAACGAAATTTAATGAGCCCGTTAGACAGCTTATTCAGGTATTTTCCTTTTATGACCATAAATCACGTAGTTCTTATTGTCATCTGTTCTATCTTTTGACTCTTAACAACCCCAACAGTTTCATCAAATGAACCAGCTGACCCACAGCCGTTTTATGTAAAATTTACTTTTTCATCTTCATTTGAGTCTTTTTCTGAGATTTTCTGTCCTTTTAGTCTTCTACTCAACTTTCACATAAACAAAAAATAAAAATTGACCCAAGTCTAATGAGAACATTTGGATTAACTGCCAACTTTCAGTGATTCAATGGAGAATTTAGTTAGTGATTTGGAAGAAGTTCTCAATGAAAGGCCTGATAAGGTTACTTTACATTTTCATTTTATATTTATGAACCACATGATTCCAGCCAAAAGCACAATTGGAGATCATTAAAGATCGGCTTCAGAATGGTTATGTATCAGACTATACCGTCTATAGATCAAAGCCTTCTCTCACACCTTCTTTCTCTAATAATTCCAACAAAACGTTTGCTTTGGATTTTTGTAAGTTTCGAGAAGGAGAGTTTTGACCATATCCTCGTATATGCTTTAAGCTTCTGCACCGCCAAAACCTCCGCACAGGGGAGCGACTCCTATAAGTTCTTTAACAAATGGTCGTTCAACACCATCTGGTTAGTTAAACATTTGAATAGAGTTTAGCGCTTAGATATACGTATATAAACTGTTTTTCTAATAGTTAATAATCTGTTTTGAGCTATTCATTCATAGTTCCTCGTTGTCAATTAAGCGTTTTATTTATGAGTTTGTAAGAGCGAGAGAAATATAGAGAAACAGAGAGAGGGAATGCGTTGATCATTTTTGTACACAAAGATCATCAAACTATTTCCTCCGATCATAATACTTGCTTTAAAATTGGAATGCGTGAAATTCACGTTTTTGTCACGTTGAACACGTTCATATCACGTGAAACCCACGCGCACGTCACGTGGAGCGCGTAACTGCTCCAGGCAATTTGACTTACGTTTACCGAAAAATTTCGAATATCGATCGACTATAGCGTGTTTAGGAAAATTTTAAACGATTTCTTCGCTGTATGTTTTCTAAATAACCAAAGCACTTCAGGATATGCTACTGCTCTTGGACGAACAATTTCTGAGATAAAAGCTAGAAATACAGAATCTCCCATACCTGATAGAACGATGGGCTCTCGTGTCGGGACACCCATAGATCTTGGTATTCCAACTATTCAAAATGGTCGTCAAACACCGCCAGTGAGACGGAACGATTCCGAATATAAGGTTTTTAATTGTGTTTTTGTAGTTTATTCATTTTCTTGCATCACTTCAGATGTCCTACGAAGTTCACGTTGATCGCCCATCAACTCTATGCAATACAGCCTCAAGTCCTGCATGGCGAAGACCACTTCACTCAGAAATATTAACAAACGATTCTGGTGAATATACAATAATAGTGTTATCATATATTTATCTTTTCTTTCCAGAAAAATCTACTGTCATGGATTTTGCCAGTTTGCGACGAGGCCGTGAACAACATATTCCTGACAGCGAACCTACAACTCAGAATCGAATTCGTTATTATTCAGCTTCACCCAAATTGTCAAGGGTAAGTTCATTTAAAATTAAAACGATTGGACTCAGCAAGTAGTTGTGAGGTGGGGGTGAGAGGAAATATAATAATAATATGAAGGGAAAGCTTAGAATAACAGAAGATGATAAGAAATCGCTGAATACAAGGGTTGACGGTGAAGCTCTTTGAAGTAGAGATAATGAAGATAGAGAGGAGATGAAAAGAAATAGTGAGTTTTAAAGAAAAAAAAGAAAGAAAACAGTCCGGTCTGTTTGTTGACTAGATGATTCATGGAGATTTGTGAGAAAGAACAAGCTCAATCGACTGTATAATCGACAGCTAATTCAAATAACCTCCTCTGAAACGGATATTTGAACATTTGAATTCATACAAAGCTTGTTTGCAATCTGACTGTCAAAATTATCATTTCTAATTGAAATAAGGTGACAAGAGTGCCTTTAACTCGCATTGAACAGGGGATGTGGTAAAACATCAAACAGCTTACTCCTGTTTATGCGAACGTCAGCTGTTGTGTTCTTCTTTCGAACAGTAAAGGTGTTTAGTTTTAAACAAAATCATCCTGAACATTAGGAAGTTTTCTATTGAAAACTCAATTATGAATTGAGTGCTTCACTTTTCATTTTCTCTATCTCTTAACGTTCTTTAGTTTACAAGATTTTAAGAAGAAAATATTATTAAAAGACATTTCGGAATAAATGACCAACAGGTGGTTTATGAATCAATCATTGCATATGTCATAAACACTACTTTTCCGAACTTCTGGCAAAAAAAGGAGAAAATAGAGAATAATTAGCATATTCGAAGGTAAAGTGATTGGCTAGGAGAGTCGGAAATAAGAATAAACAGTGTAGGTGGGCATTATGAGCAAAGATTAAGAGAGTTTAACGACAACAATCCTCAATGTTGTTTTTTCAAATTACAACCTCCTCTTTTCTTGTGCAGGAGATTAAAGAATAGGTTTTTACAAAAAATAATTCTTTTTAAACAAGTTCTCATCACCAACAGTTCACTACTCAACAATAGAGTTGAAATGAAATCGCGAGGGTTAATCGGAAAATAAACTTCACGATACGTACGTAAACTGTGAGATTGGCTTGTTCACACAAAACTATATTCATAATTTAATTTTCTATAAATAATTGCAAGTTATCTTCTATAAATTACATTTAGAAGTTGTTGCCTGTCCCTAATAACAACCCATCTCAATTCACTTATGCCCAACAGAATGGACACACAATTCTTGCGAAATCTCAAGGAACATGTACTTCGCCAATATCAGACGAAGAACAGAAGATTGTCGAGAGACCTGCCATCAAGGTAGTATAATGTTTAATTCTAAAGATTTTATGTAATCCATCTGTAGAAGCTACCTGATTACCGTTCAATTGCTACATCTACTGGACCTTTACCCCCAGCTAAGCCATGTTCTGAGTGTCCTGTTATTAAAGCTGAATTGAAAGATGCTCTACTGAGGTGAATCATTCAGAGAATATTGATATGTGAGTTATGAGCTGTTTTTTTTTAGAGTTCCTCCTCCAAAACCACTCACCCTACACGTTTGTACAGAAACGGATGTGATAGAGCCAGAGCCTAAACCAGCTACTGTTGACGTAAGTGCACATATGAGTCGTTTAAGTTTTTGATGCTTCTAGAAATGCACAAGTATGGTGATTTCTGTTCTCTCGATCGGAACAGACCCGGATAAGGTTGAGACTCGTTCGACAGCTTGCAGTCCAATAATATTCGAAACTACATCGATCGTTAGTTTGTATTTTATATTATCCTTGTTATTTTCGAGTTTTTCAGAATACTCAAACTGATTGTAAAGTATCGGTTGATGTTGGGATTCATGTTATTCCTTCATCCATCGAATTTGGGATGCAAACAGAATTTTTAGATAATTTAAGCCATTCAGCAACAAATACAGATGGTTTGTGTCAACTTTTGATTCAATTCACTTAAAAAATGATAACTTTTAAAGCATTCGAATCTAGTCCTGAATCGAAGGAAGGAATCGAAAAGGAGACCATGACTACGAGAGTGTATTATCGTAACTTCCATAGTCAAACAGATGACTCGTTGCCTGAAGCTGTACTCTTAACAAAGGAGGTTAGTTTCCTAGAAAGAAGGAGAGAAAGAGAAACTGAGAAAGCTATCCTTCATATTTATAAAAGAGATTAACATATTCGTATGTTATACTTTCAGTTGACCAGTAGCCAGAGCTCTCCTTCCTCATCAAGCGAAACTGCCAGTCAGACTGATTGTGGTAAAGAAAACCATTTTAATAGACATAACAAAAAATATCTTTTTCCAGATCAAGATTCTTCAGAAGCGCGAGCTTTAGAAGAAGCTGAAATGAATGAATCAATTTGGTTGATGTCATCAAAGGAAACGAATGAGATTGCTGTTGGTCCAGACGAAATTTACGAAGACGAAGTGAAGGTAAAAGTCCAAAATAAAAGTAAGAAGGAAAAAGAAAAAAACAAACGGAACTTTAGATGCCACTGGATTGCATTGAATGTCTGAAAAGGGATCAAGTCTTTTCCCGCAATGTTGGCGTTGGTAACTGCTCTGTGATTGACAAGGTAAGACGAAAAAGGTTGCAAAAAAAGAAGGAAAAAGAAAGTTTGAATATTCTTTTGCTCTATAGTCATGTGCTTCGAAGGATTCAGAGAAAAAAGATATAATTGAATAGATAAATGATAAAAAAGATGCTGATAACATTTAATTGAATCGTATGTTATACGTATTCAGAAGATTTCCTTTTTCCTACATCTCTTGTGCAACACACTCTTTTTTCACGTAATGACGTCATAGATTATGAAGACGTTTGATGAAAATTCACACAAACGGCCATATAGCCGTTTGGATGATAGTTTTGTCGTCGTCTTCCTCAGATGATGACGACCGGTCTCTCTGTTTCCATTGGCTAGTTAGCTTTGTTTCAATCTTTGTCCTCGCCTTTTATGGTGATGCTCTTTTCATTTTCTATATATCTCATTCTATCCTAATATATTCAGTAAAGGCATTTTAATGAAATGAGAATTTTAATAGTCGTTTCGTCTAGTTTGATGTCATCATCGTCAGCTCATCAGAATCCTCTTGACGTCCATCTTTTTTGTACCTCAAGAATATTCATCTCGAAATTTTGAATATGGAATACATATGGGTTTTTTTTTCTCTCTCCTTGTTTGGAAATCTCTCCATTCTCATTTTATTTCGTTTTTCATTTTGTTATCTTATTCTGCTCCTCTTTATCTTTCTCTTCTTCGACTCTCTCTCTCTAACTGTCTTTCTCTCTCTATCTTCCTCATTTCCTGTCTTCCAGCATTCCTTCACCTATTTCTCCGCTTGGAAACATAATTTGACATTTTTGAACTTTTTATAACGTTTTTTTCTATACTCATAACGACCTCAATAGTCTGAGATGACAATGAATCTTTAACCATTCTGTTGTCATCATTGTCGGGAGGTGTATAAGCCTTAAAGCTTTTCTGATCGGCAATAGCATTTATACATATGGAGAAGAATGTCAAAAGAATTATACAACAATCCAAAATAGCTTTTACACTTCTCAAACATTATAAGAAAACTCTTCATCTCCATCTTTTCCTCATAAGATAAAGTGATATGATTTGAAATAAAAGAAAAAAAATGTTTTTATGTTGATCTTCTAAATGACATCATAATCCTTTCGTTCTCCCAAAAAAACGACCGGTCTTTTTAAATCTTGATGTTCTGCTCTTTATCAAATAACTTTTTTCCATTCATCAATAACAAACCGTCTTCGTCTGCTCTGTTTGTTAGTATAGCCTGAGGCCTTGTTTCCATTTTTATCAACACTTCTTCTTTATGTTTCTATCAAATTATCTTTGAAGGATTCATGTTGCTGCCAAGACGTCGTCGATCCTTGTTCGATCGAGTCCTTGATTCTCTTGTAGGTCTGAGTGAGAGTGAACAAAGAAAACTCTGAATATTTCTCAATATGACTATGATCAGACAGCTTATCATATGTGTTGTTTTCAGGTCTGTGTTACGTGTGACAACTCAAGTGATGAAGTCAATGAAAATGATATTTCTGATGTAATTTTTTCTCTTTTCTGTTTTTTTTCAACCTTTTTTAATTGCAGAATGATAACGAGAACGATAAACCTAAACAGATTGGTTCAGAACAAGTTGCTTCGTTAAAGAAGTTGTTGACTTCTGATCAAAAGCAGAACTTTGTTCGCGGTTCGTTTCCTATGAGCCAACCGTAATTATAGTTTGGCATTTCAGGCACCGTTGCAAGCCGAAGTGCTCGTATGGAAAGGAAGAAGACGGATGAGCTGGAATACGTTGAACAACAAAATAAAGTGAAATTCTTTTTCATTTTTTTGAAGTCTTTATAAATATTTTGATTCAGGATGTCAGTGGAAGTGCTTCATCTACCCCAACAGAAAAAACATCAGAAGCTTTGAAAAATAAAGTTATTCTAAAGAAAGATATACCGCCACCACCTTCAGTTGTTCCTGAACCAGTTCCGGCAAGAATTCCAAGGCCTAAGATCAGCAAGTAAGCTAGGAAGTACAGTTTCAATACTGTTATATCTGTTCAAGGTATGCTGTTCCTGATGAGAGTGCCGAAACTCCAGATGAGGCAGACGAAGCCACCGATCGTTTGACCCCATTGCGAAGTGAATTGCGATCATTAGGAAGGTAAATATTACTTTTAAACTTTTTTCCTTACTTCTCAAAAACAACAAACAATCGTTTTCCGCCCTCGTTTTTTTTTTATTGACGTGTATTTTTTCACGTGTAGATTGAATTATGGAAATTGGAATTTCAAATGAACTTTTCAGATGGCCACGCAGTCCACAAATAATTTATGGAACGCCTCCTCGAATTGAAGACAAGTGAGTTTCAGTCGTTCTGTACATTTCTTATTTCATAGAGAGACAGAGTGAGTAAACGTTGAAAAAAAGGTTAATTTCGTCTCCCTCTTTGTACTGTTCACTCCCTGTGAGAGAATTTCTCATCAGCTCAGTAGGTCACACAGACATTATTTGTCATTCGGATTCTACTTAACGTTGTCAGTCAACTTTCCGCTCCACGCGAGCGCAAATAAGGAATAAGATCAACCTAATATAATCCATCGAGATATTCCTAAAAGCAAAATCAGAGATGCTGCCGACTCTTCAGAGGCAACCATAGGAAGAGTGAAAGAGAAAATGAGAGAACAGGAGCAGAATATCAAATTACGTTGCTCTTTTTCTACTTGATTAATCAAACATTTAGTTGAGCAAAAAAAAATATTTGAATAAAAAAACCATTCAAGATAATAAATGTTATTACAGTGAAACAGATGATGAAGAAGATGAGGCGGCAGCCATTGAGTCTGATAACTCGGAAGGAAGTTACGATACAAATGAAGATCAACATGTTGAAGGAACACCTTTCGAGATAACAGCTCCTCTACGAGAAGCGCTAGAAAGCTTAAATTCACATCTTTTGCAACCAGGCAGTGTAACCAGTGAAACAGCGGTATGCTTTTTCAACTTTTAAGAAAATCATTTTGTGATACTACAGGATTGGGCATTGAAGTATGTGCAACATGAATGGTTGAAAACAAGTGCACGGAAATGCAGTAAAACAAATCATGTGGATGTAAGCTTTATTATCTTATGAACAAGGAAGAGCTTATTCTCAAAAAATGTTTTTATAGGTGTTTATAGAGCAGCTGAAGGAATTATCTCCATTATTATTGAAGACAGTTATCAACATATCCGATCAAAATGTATTTTTATTATTCGAAAGCAAAATACAACTCGTCTTTCATCTTACAGGGGAATACAGCTCTTCATTACTCTGTTAGTCATGGAAACTTTGGAATTGTATCATCACTCTTGGATACGCACGAGAGCCAGCTTAATATGGCTAACAGAGCTGGATATTCACCGGTTATGTTGGCTGCCTTAAGTAATCTAGAAGATGATGTTGAAAAGACTGTTGTTCAGAGGTATTGTCTAATCAAGTTTGGCTTCGAGTCAATATCTTTCAACTTCCGTTTACAGAGTATTTGAAATGGGAAATGTGAATGCTAAAGCAACACAACATGGTCAAACAGCTTTGATGTTGGCTGTCAGTCATGGGAAGAAAGCTACAACGGAGCTTCTATTAGTTTGTGGAGCTGATGTCAATATCCAGGTAGTTATGAAGAAAATTTTCTCTTTGAGCTCAAAAAAATTGACATGGAGTTCCTTACTTGTTAGGTTTTTAAGGGAGAGAAGGAGATAATGCAACCGCTCTGTTGAGTAATAAAATAAAAAAGTGTCGATGCGTGGTATCCACGTGAAGTTCACGTAGATTGAATGCGCTTTGAACGCCTAATTGATCTATGCAAATTGACAAAACTTACAAATGATTGAGAGAAAAGATTTGATTGGCAAATAGCGTGACGAGACCATATTTGGATTTCATAAGTGTATATGGCGGTATCCCACTGTGTCAGAGTAAATACAGAAAAAGAAGGCTTGGAGCTTCCGTCTTACTACTGATGGGGCTGAGTTTTGCCTTCTATATTCTCTTCCTTTCTAATATGCTCACCGCATTGCACTGACAGAATATGAGAAAATGGAGAAAAGTTGTTTGTTCGTGGAGCTACAAGTGCCTAATTGGATTCGTTTCTTCACAGTTCATTTGAAGAGTGTTCTGATGTCAGGTTTATGAAAAACACGAGAAGTGCTTAGTAGAATAGAAGAGAAAATACAAATGAGATCATTTCACACAATAAGCGACAACAGAGAGAATAAGTGAGAGAGAGATGGGGAGAGAGAGAGAAATGAACAGAGAGAGAGAGAGAGAGAGAGAAGAAAATGAATGAAATCATACTGTGATTTTGGACAATCAATTGTTATTATATTTACTATTATTGAGCAAAGAAAATTTGTGTAGGAGAAAGAAAGAAATATAATCATTTTCATGAATTCAGGATGAGGAAGGATCAACAGCCTTGATGTGTGCTGCTGAACATGGACATAAAGAGTTGGTAAAGCTTCTTCTAGCTCAACCATCAACCAATGCATCATTAGCTGATTGTGTAAGTTAACTGGTTCAATACGTATAGATGAATGTCTTGAATTACAGGATAGTTCAACAGCTCTATCAATAGCAGTCGAAAATGGTCATCGAGATATTGGTGTACTTATCTATGCTCATATAAATTATAAAATAGCTGAAGAATTTCAAGATCTATGAATATAGCCAATAAGCCAATATTTCTTTCCAAACATCATAATTATTATTTGTAAATTATATGTTAATTACTATATCATCTCATTATTCAATGTGCTCAATATTTGTGTTTTTGATAATTGGACCAACTAAGAAGGTTTAAAGCAATTCATATGCCTTACCAATCGGCCGGTTCGATCATACTCTCCTTACTCTATACTACCATCCATCCATACTCTTCCTCATCATTACTCCCTTTGAAACGCCAATCTACTTGCATGCCATAACAAAGTACTTTTTTAAATTGATAATTATGAGAAAATTATAATAATTATAAGCAGTATTAGATGATTATGTGATTTGAGCTGAGTTGTGATTAGAATGTTCATCCATTAGCTCTTTGTATTTCCTTGTTTCGAAGCAGAGCTCTTGCAGAGACCTTGTGTACGAGTATTTTTGTGAATTTTTTTTATTTCATCATTTTCTTATATGGACTTGTGTTAATTTTGTGATTAAAATACATTTTTACATTCTTCTTTCTGCTTTCCTGCTGACTGTGGACAGCTTGGTGATTCACAACAGTCATGACGGCAACATCTGACACTATTTTAAGAAATATTTGCATGTATCAGATGACTTTCTCTTGTCATTCTCTCTACCTTTAAAACTGATAATCAACATGATGTATATTTGAATTTACACGAACGAGAAGTAATAGAGGGAGGAAGAGAGAATGGAAGACCAAAGGATGAAGCCATTGCTATTAGGAATCATCGAGTGTAGTGCAAAGGAGAACAATTGCATAAATTTGCTGTTGGCGTCAGAACACCCTGATGAGAAGTGTTAATACTACTGGTCATGACATAAGGCACTTTTATACAAATACTCAACATCACAGCAGGTGTTTCACCTCACTACTTTCTTCCATCTCTCTCTCTCTATCTTCCTCTCTCTCTCTGTCTCTCTCTTCCCTTTAATTTCAGGATCGAAATGGATTTTTCTTTCTTTTTTTTAGTAAAATTTTTTTGATCTGTTTATACAGCCGCTTACATTAAATTGTAATTCGAAAACTGTCACCATCTGTACAGCTATATTGATATGAAAACGAATATCCAGAGAGTTTCGCTCTCCATCTTCCCCTCCCTCTCCCTTTCTAACAGCCTTTATTTCTCTTCTTTCTCCGTGTTCTATCTGTTTCAAACCTTTTCACGCACCCTTTCTCGTCCAGACGACTATGTGAAAATTCATATTTCTATTGTCTGACTCATACCCTTCTAACACTTCTATGCTCGTGTACACTTCCATTCTCATAATGTTTCATTTCTAAACTTTTTTTTATTATTTAATTATTGAAAATCAAAATTTAATGGAATGTTTCGATCCTGATGAACGATGTAGTTCTTTGGTTGCTTGGTCTTACCACAGTCATTCTTGTTGTCTCACTCTCTCCTTCTGGGTTTTCCCATTTTTTTTAGCTGCAAACGCATTTCATTCTGCAACGATCGTAACCGTAAACTGAGCTGTCGCCTTTTCTCCATCGTCTTCGTCGTGAAGCGTTGAATTCATCGCCAACCACCGTCGTACTGTTTGTATATTGATGCAAAGCCTTTCGTACATCTCTACGATTGTGTGTACGATTCCCTCTTTTCATTTTCTTCTTTTTCTCTCTTAAACTTTCTCTTTTCATTTCAATGTTAGACTAATATCTCTCATTTTCTCCCTTTATCTGTTTTACTGTGTGATGAAGTAGAGGCCTGAATCAACACGAAACCGCCGACGACGCCGTCGACGACATCTCCGAGAAACAAGATCACACAGCTCTATGACGGTTGCTTCTAAGCCTAACGAATGACTGTGTGCCAAATATGGCTTCGAATATTACAGTTTTAACTCAACTCCAAGATTATTTTGTGATAGTGTGCATATCCCTGCTTAACCGAATAATTTGCAAACATAGCCTCCAGATCTCTAAGACGTCAGGTCAATTCCGGATGAAATCAGAGAGTGAAGAAACCAGAGAAACGAAAAAAACTGAGAAAAAAGAGATTGTACGAGAGATTAGAGCAGAGAAATAAATTAATTTGTTTAGGCTAGGTTAACTTTCAACCTATATAAGGATTAGTGACTGTGTTTGCTTAAGTTGCATAACGGCTATATGATATTTGGAACTGTCAAACTTCCTTCATCTTCTCATTCTCTTTCTTCATGACTAGGAAACCTCCTCGCAGAACCAAAACAGAACTCTGATTCTATACGATTTAGCTTCAAGAAACGTTTATTTTAGTCGAAATCTTTAGATAATATCATCATGCTGATAATGGTAGTTAGGGCTTACAGGACAAAGATATCTATTAGGACCATCTCGAGCTACCGATCAGCCGAAAAGCTGATTTCCCGAGCTTACAGATTTCAAATGAGCTATTGTCTTGTTTTCAATTTCATTTCAATAACTTTTTTTCTCCTTATTTTATTTCTTTAACGTCCGGTACACTTGTGTCAAGAGCCACGCAGTAGGCGTGGCCGACCTCTGAGCCGTGTCGTCCCCACCCACCGTAAGGGGGCGGAGCTCAGAGTTTGCCATCATCCTGAGCGGGTTCACTTCTTCTGTATGTTGTCCTTTACGGAGTCGTTGGTCGGTTGCTCTACCGAAGCAGCTTCTAATAATTGTAAATGGACATTCTTCAGACAATGAATGAAATCTATTCGTCTCACTCTTTCTCTCACTCGCTCTGTCTCCTGCTTTCTCACTCAGATAGCGCATCTCTCTCTATTTTGAGCTCTTTTAAAACAACAGGAAGAAGAAATATAAATGAATAATAAAATAAAATGAGCTATGGAATCTAATTCATTTAGTTTATTCAGGAGATCATATAGCCTATGTCTACGTCATTATCTGTATAAATATAGAAGTTCTTATTTTTATAATCCTGTTATTTTTTTATTTGTCGTTCTAATATTCCATCCAATCGCTATTTCTATTCATCTCATCTCTCTTTTCTCCTTTTTTCCTCCCTTACTACCTGCAACTTTCTCTCTCAACTCTCTCTTCATCTCTTCGTCTCTCTCTTTCAACCCGTTTTTTCCATTCCTTTTTCATTCAAACGTTTTTCTACTTTCTTCTTCTCATTTATCTTCTCATAGGTACTACTAAACTTTTCTTCGCTTTTTTCATTCACCCAAAAAGAGTATCCTCTTTTGGATGTTATGAGAAAATCCTCTTTGAATACTTAAACCTTCTTCCTCTCTCTCTCTCTATTCCTCATGTCTCTTTCCTCTCCCTCTCTCTCTCTCTCTCTTGCTTTCTCTCTGTTAACAGTTTGTTTATTGATGAAAGAGACAAGTCTGATAAATATAATTATCACAAATATATATAACTATATATATTTATTATATTCTTTACCCAATCGACAATCGTCCTGAGCTAGGCAAGATGTTGGCATAGCTGAGCTTATGAATTCCTCAGCGATGCCACATAGGGCCAAGCGCAGAAACGAGACATGCGTTGGGCTTCTAGCAACTATCATATTCAATTATTAACTATACATCATATAGTTTATTGAATCACAGATTATTAACTACAAGTTAAACTATCATTATGTATCAAATGCAAATCAAGTACCATTCCACAATCGAATGAAGATGATGTGAGCTCAAGAATGAAAAAATGAATATACATATAGTATGTAAACCACATTTGGAATTATACGTACACATGCAATGAAGGCTACATGTTGTTTTTGTGTTTAAGGAAGATAAGCATATTGAATACGATTTCCTCCATAACGACATTCATGATCCCATAAACGATTTTCGTTTAAATCTATTACTCTGAGACCTTCAGCAAATCGAACCTGCAATGAAATTTGAAACATCTAGTTGAAGCCTATTCGACACAAATTTATATAATATCGAATAACCCATTTTAGGATTTATTTCATTTGAATAAAAAAGATGAAAATTCCAAAAAAAAACATTTGGGCTTTGTCTTCATTACCCCTTTAGCCCTCATCTCTCATGCCACCCAAACCTTTCCCTATTCCCCCAACCCTTCATCTCACACTCTCTTAACCATTGTCTTATTGGTCTATCAAAAACGAATTGAATGAGCAAAAAGAAATATTTTGTTTTTCAAATAAGATATTTCAGTCTTATCACACAAATTTCAATATTGAACTAGTGAAGGAGTCATTCATCAAACAGACCACGACAATCCTCCGAATCGTGCTAAGGTTCTTCGGTTAACTCAACGTCATCTTTGCTTCACTTTTTCTTTTCTTCTTCATCTCTCCTCTCTCCCTTTCTCCATTTTTCTAGTTCTTTCTGTCAATCTTCAAAAAGTGTGTTTCTTCTGTCGATTTCCTTTATGATCGGCGTTATATGGAACGTGGAGCTTTCAAATGTCAAAATACCTTTGACAAACTTCACTTGCACTTTTGTACTTGCACAGGGATGAAGATAGCAAAGTTAAATGAAAACGAGAAATCTTTTCTTTTTTTTAATTTCATCCTCTACACTCTCCTGGCCTCTCCCTCGTTATTTCTCTTTCTCTCTCTGAGCAATCGATGTAAAGTGCAAGTGAGGTTTGTTGGAGCAGCTCATCAGAAGAGGGGTAGGTTAAGTTTGTACGGTAGCTGAACAAACAGTGAAATGGGCTCAACCACACAAACTTTCTTTCTTTCTTTCAAGCAAAAGTGGTCAATGAGAGGCCAAAAAGAGAAAAAAAAAGAGGTAAATTGGAGAAACAGAAGAAAAGGAAAACATACCTCCATCTTAACACTTGAATAATCAACATTGGTGTTTGGATAGCACAGCTCATGTACAGATGGCCAATACTGGGCAGCCGATTCCTTAGTACAGCACGGATCCTGGAAAGTATATTTGTAATGATGACATATGTGAAGTAAGGTCTGATAGTCTTTTGAGAGTATGAAGAGTATTTGAAACGTACATCATCTATGAACTTATCGTAACAGCATCGATTGAACTTGTTGGTACTTGTTGTTCCTTCACTTTGTCCCGAATCTTCACAACAACTGTATTTCGACTTAAAATAATATAATATTTACATAAATATATATTGTCTTACTTGTAGGAACTTTTGAAAACAACACAATTGTACAGTACTATTGGTACACTTGCCAGGAATACAAACATCCGTGATATAAATACCTTTGGAACAACACTTTGATAATCCATATCGACCCAGCTTCTCTTGCTTAAAACAAAAAATAAACAATTAACTTCAATGTAATTCGATTTCATCTGAATGACGCAGCACAACCGTTTGCAACCAGTGTCAAAACATAAAATGATTCGTGTTGTGATGTGTGTGTGTATGCTCTCATTCAAATTTGATCGTATACTACTTGCTTATGCTAATGAGCTTCTAACCTGCTGAAAACAGATATCGTCTGTGTATGCTGAGCAAGGAATGTTGTTCTCTGAGACGATTGGACCGAATGGCTTATTAATCTGAGTAACAATACATATAAGATACATGCTTAGTGTTGATTATCTACTTGATAGTTCTTTATGCCTGTCGCCACATGCGGAGTCACTAACGTAGGGAACCATGGAGATGTTGGCTGAGGTATTTGTGTCTGAATAAATCAGATTTAAAAGATAAAAATATCTTCATCTATTAAGCATTGATAGGAATAATCCAATGTTTGATTTCTCTATTTGAAGAATCAGAATAATGTTTTCTCGCTCTTTCTTTTCTTCTCGCTTCATCATCGAACTTGCACTTTGCTTCTTAGCTTGCAAGCCAGGCATAGCTCAAGTACTTCATGTACAATCGTCTGCTTATTCTATCTTTCTGAACATCATCAACATTTTGTGAAATACAAAAAGTTTTTTTTTCCGAAAAGAAGAATTATAGCTTTCGGAGGAAGATCACACAACAAGTAGTAGTGCACTCATCGTAATTATGTTCTTCTCAGACCGTACGGCACAGAAAAACACAGAAAATCACAAAAGGTTTACGAGAAGCTATCGAATTTCAAAAAGAAAGTATTATATTTCCGAAGATTGTGTGGTTCTCGGCGTTTTTTTTCATTTCTTGACCGTCTGATCTTTGAAGAGTAGTTTCCCTCGCCTCGGGCTTTTGTCGTTTTTTTCCAAATTTACCTGAACTTTGGGAGTAGTGGGCGCTTTGGAAACCAAATCTTCATAATCCTCATCTGGCCCATAAGGATTTTTTGTTGTTTCTTCACGAAAAATTGAACGTTAAGCGCTATTCGGCGTAGAGAGAACCTGGAGTTGTAGGGATGGTTGGATGAATCAAGTGATTGTAGTAAGTCGAAGGATTTCTTTGATTCTGATTCAGTTGCTGTTGTTGATGATGTTGATTTGACTGCTGTTGATTGTAACTATGTTGAGTGTTGGAAGGATAAGGAGAGCGGGAACGATCAGATGGATAACTATGAGCTGTTTGATGTTGATAATTGTGTTGATAATGTTGTTGTGTACGGTCCTGGAAGAAATGAGTAATTGAACGGTAAGCAGTGAGACCGAACCTGTTGATTAGATGGAGGATATGTTGTTTGATATGAAGCATAAGGTTGTTGAGGATATCGAGCTTGTTGTTCCCTTTGTCTTAACCAAATTTGCTGTTGCTGCTGATAGGAAGGAGTTGTTTGACGCTGATAGATGGAATCATCTCTCTGCTGACCATATGAAGAAGACGGCTTAAAGTAGGCGTTGATACTCTATAAAACAACGCACTACACCCACCAAAAAACTAACAAAGGTGTTAAAGTATATGTGAATGATAATGAAACAGGGTTTTAAGGAAACAGGTATCAAAAGGAAACAACGGACGATGAACAGTCAACGAGCTGTTTGTCAAATATTATTTTCAAGTAATCTAAGACAATCACGTAAATACTTTCATTTGCAAGAAACGGATTTTTCATTTCTTACCTTCGCACGAAATTCCTGATTATGCTTGGATAAGTCTCGGCTTCCACGGCTATCATACTGACACCAACCGCATTTGGCTTGTTTCAAAGCTTCTTCCACAACATTCAGGATTATGCGATAGGAAGTAACATAATCTTGCCGATGAGGAAGTATATGGGAGACACGTCCACACCTGTTACAAGCTCAGTTTATCTTACAAAAAGATAGAAAGGAGTCATGATCTTTCATTTGTCATGATACTCTCACAAGCTACTTCTAACGACATACCTGTCATAGAGAGTTATATCATGTGGTTGATGTCCTGTAGATACGAATAGCCCATCTTCATCTCTATCAAGTGATAAATGTTTAAACTGAACATAAAAACTATTAATGAACATTATAATGTGTATGATTAACCTCTCGTCGCAGCTTATCTACAAACGATGGCGCTTCGAAACCAGGAGCTATCACAACTACTCGAAGCTCCGACACGGATTCAGCTAATAGGCTTAATCTGAAGAAGGATTAGTGATTATTAAAATGCATTATTTCCCAAAATGTGAAAATTTAAAATAAAAAAGAGTTTGTATGTGTTGAAAGCGTCAATCATCAAAGGGTAATTGGATATGTTGAAAGATATTTGAAACTGCTTGAAAACAGCAATAAGAGAGGATGAAAGAAAAACTTTTTTAAGAGGAAATAAACTTACTCTCGTAATTGTCGATGACAGTGAGAGCATTGTAATGGCATATAAACAAGTAATAATAGGAAGCCTCGATTCTGCTGAATGATATCTGTTCCTTTGATGTAGATTCGTGTTCCAGGTGTGCATAATGTAGGAATAGAGGAAGCTAATGGTGATAGCAGTGTCAAAAGGATCACCAATCCTTGTGACATTGACATCGTTACTGAAGCTTGTTTTTGAATATCTTATTCTCCTGTCTCTCTAACGTATATTCAGAATCGTGCTGCAAGCTATGAGATGAGTACTGTCTATGAAGCAGAACATATGTGATGAGAAAACAAAAAAAAGCGAAATCAACTCATTCATATATCAGATGTTGCGGTATAGATAGAGATAAGATTAATCACTCAATGCTATGAACAGAAATTTATCAAAAGCTTGAAAAATAAGCGTCCTCGTTGAATTATCTCTTCGAGAGATGTTCTTTGATTGAAATCATTCTGCTCTCATCAATTTTTGTTTTTTCTCATATTTAGAGCAATCACACATCAATTCCTAACATATGGAAAAATTAATAAAAAATCAGAAAAGGAGAAAGAGAGAGAGAGATCGAGATAGGGTGAGTTAGAGAGGCTTCTCTTATTCCGTCATTCTCCCATAACGTGATGTTCTGAAGTCTTATGGTGAGTTAAATGATCTTAGAGGATATTCTCCTAGCGAAAGTGAGATGTGAAGAAATTTGTCGCTAATCTATCTTATTATAAATAAAATCCAAATATAATATACTTGTTGAGCAGACACAAAATGAAATAGGCAATACCAATAATCAATTATGAACTCACCACCAGACGGCCAGAGTAACTTCGAAGAATTGGAAGATCCTGGAGATAGAGCAGATAGGAAGAAAGGAAACACTGCTGGCGACAGCAGCCGGACTATGGGTAGTAAGCGTTGTAACGATGGCGACAGCTGAGCTTTCTGGTACTCCTATAACTTCAAACAGAGAACCTTCTCATCATCATATTCCTCCTCAATCCCACCTATATTTCTTTTTTTTATAAACGTTTTTATTACATGACATATGATGGATCACAATTCAGCTTCGGCTTTTCTCTCTTAACACCTCTTGCTGAGTAAGTTGATGCGAGAAGAAACGAAACTGCCTCTGTTAACTACAATGATCATACTCAAACTTCAAAAAATTACTTTCTCACTCTCTCAAGTGTCGTTTAAGAATTTATTAATAAGCCGGCTAGAGCGTGACCTCTAACCTAGAATACCTTTCCGAGAACTACAAGTACACTACAGTTTGTTTTCAAAATTGTTTAATTGAATAATGGCTCAGACATCCAAGGAAGTATATACCCTCACATCTTAAGATCAGTTGAACTGCGAAGCGGGATTCATCATCATAGCCGGTCAAGCCCTGACAAGTA